TACTTTACAAAGCATTGCTGTCTTTTCATGTTTTCTCGTGTTGTGACCGAAATGTGACAGCCTCCATTGAGTTATCATATAACCCAGGCAAAAAAATCCCACAATACCTGCTTTGAACTGGGTTACCTGAGTCCACACTGCCACATATTCCAGTTCAAAGCAAATAATGTGGTGTTTTATTCAGCTGTGTGGAAGAGGCCTTGGCTTCTAAGGAGCACTGAGGCTTAAAGATAACACAAGTCTTTTCAGAATGAGACCGAAAAGCTTTCTTCCATCAGTATTAGTTGGGCATCTGTTAGCACAGCAGTCGGGAGAAGACTGACTGAGGCGTGACCTCAGCTCTCGAGGAAATGAAAAGAGGCTGTGATAAATGGAAAGAGGAGTAAATAGATTAGGAAAGTCTCTCTCGGCATCCTTAGCCATCCTTAAGGTCAAAACCGGTATATGCAAAACCATACTGAGATAAATTAGAAAACCATCCTTGCCTTTACATTCATAATAACTGGTGTTAATTAGAAATCTCACGTTGTGAGTGTACTATATTGAGCTCAAGAGAGTGGGGCTTTGTCACTGTTTTTGTCACCCTGTCTGTGAAACGTGCCACTTTTTTTCCTGACAGGCCTTGGCAGGAGCAACCTGCTAAATTTCTACCTGTCAGGTTGCTGTCGTAACTTTAAAAAAAGACGGAAAAATGACATTTTCCCACTTTTCTTTCAAGACATTCAAGGTGGTGGCATATGTGGCCTCCCACACACTTGAGAAATAACAACTAGGCCCAAATTGCCCAGTTAACTTAATGGCACACTTTTCACCTTTGCTGAAAAAATGGATCGGCCTTGCCTTGAACCACAGGCCCTAGGTCAACAGTGTTATAGATGTGGTGTTAAACATCCTTTAATCTGCATCATTGTGGTACATATTCTGTATGCAGGACACGACTCACTTGGGCGATTGTGTAATATCTTGAATTTCTGCAGTAGTCTCCAGATGTTTCTTAATCTCGACCCATAGCTGGTTTGCAAAGTTTGTGAAGCAAAGATGATTGAGGGTTTATGTTAATAAAGCAGTAAAAATATTATAATATTTTCCTCAGGTGAACACTATAATAATCTATATAAATAAAAATGTAATGTTCGTTTGAGGGATTAACATAACTCAAAACCCACTGGACGAATTGCCATAAAATTTGACCAAAAGACACCTACTAACCCAAGGAGTGACCATCACTCAAAAATTTGATTTTGTCATTTGGGAGTTGTAATTGCTGGGATTTATAGTTAACTACAACCAAAAGAGCATTCTGAACTCCACCAAATGATGGAACTGAACCAAACGTGGCACACAGGACTCCCAAGACCAACAGAAAAAACTAGAAGGTTTTGGTGGGCATTGACTTTGAGTTTGGGAGTTGTAGTTCACCTACTTCCAGAGAGCACAGTGGACTCAAACTATGATGGATCTGGACCAAACTTGGCACGAGTATTCCATTTGCCCAAATATGAATACAGATAGAGTTTGGGGGAAATAGACCTTGACATTTTGGAGTTGTAGTTACTGGGATTTGTAGTTCACCTACAATCAAAGACCCCTTTGAATCCCACCAACAACAGAATTGGGGCAAACTTCCCACACAGAACCCCCATGACCAACAGAAAATACTTAAGGCCATCCAGTCCAACTCCCTTCACCAGGGCAAGAGAACATAACCAAAAAAGCTATCCAGCCATATATATATATATATATATATATATATATATATATATATGATTCACACACACACATACAGTATAGATTTGAAAGGGATTAACATAACTCAAAAACCACTGGATGAATTGACACCAGATTTGGACGCAATACACCTATCAGGCCAACAAGTGCCCATCATTCATAAAAACACTGAAAAACAGAAGAAACTTTAAAAGCCAAAAAACAAAAATTACATTACGAAGCATGCGCAAAACCACACACACATACACACACACATATATATATACACACACACACATACACATACGCAAACACACACAAAATACATTTACACAGACTGGGCCACAAAAAATACGACACATGCGCAAAACCACATATATACACATATACACTCATAAATACACACACAAAACACATATACACAGACTGGGCCACAGCAACGCATGACAGGGGACGGCTAGTATATAATAACTTTATGTTTATATCCCGCCTCCATCTCCTCGATGGGACTTGGGGTGGCTTACAAAGGGACAAGCCTGAAAATACAGATTAAAGCACACACAATAAAATAAATTCAACAGCAACATATCAAAAAACATATCACAATCACGAACAAACATTTTAAAACCATATCTTGGCTGAACGAATAGGTGCTGAATACGGAGGGCTCAGGGTATGTGCAATGATGCCTAAATAGAGCCAAGAGAAAGTGCAAGATTCAATTCAAATTCAATAAGGCCCAGCTGGGTGGGTAATGTCCTTAGCCATTTAAAGTGTCAGGATTACAGGAAGGAGGAACAAACTAAAGTGCAGGAGCTTTGGTGAGATTGAACACATTATCTGGTGAACTGCCTAGTCAAATGCACAACAGACCATCCAGGTTTTTTAAGTCCTTGCAGAAATTGGATGGAGTAGGTGCCAGTATGATCTCCCTAGGTAGAGTTGAGATGATGGCGGTTGAATACACTGTCTATGCTATTGAACAAAACAAGGACTGCATTTTGGAAATACGCCCTTTCTCACTGAGTAGGTGCCAGTCTGATCTCCTTAGGTAGAGAGTTCCAGAGCCGAGGATATAGGCAGGACTCTTGTACATGTTCATGATGCTCATTATAACCTGCAATCTCATTGGAGGGAGGGCCATTGGTGTCTTCTGAACAGTGGGAGCTATAGTTGTTTGTGGAGGCAACGGCTTGTCTGTGTAAGTGGGCATATCCCAGCCACGCACATATACATATTTTCACTTTTATTATGTATATAGATTGAACATTTTGTTGGCTTGTGTATATGTGGCAATAGCATATTGGACATTTACAGCATTTATGTATATGCTTAAACACAGTCCAGCAAATAACAAGGTATGGGAGCAAACATCAACAAACAAAGGAAAAGAAAAGGCTAACAGGAAACATTGGGCTATGAGGATGGCTAGATGCAGTTTCAATCAGAATCTGGAATATTTAATTTCGGATCAGACTGCCACATTGATTGGATAATGCATTTGTCACCATGTTTGATGAATTAGGGACATGTATATGTTTGCTGCAGTGTCTTTTTCTAATGGGCCATCTGTTGTGAAAAGCTTTTCAAATGAGGTTAATGGGCATTGTGAATTGTGATGAAATTGTGATAATTTGGTGGAACCAAGAATGTTTGTGGGTTGTAGAGAAAGTTTTAGTATGTTAAATAGGTTACTAAGTAATCTCTTACATCTCATACATTACAATTCTCTCTTATATTTCAATTGTTGCCAATATTGAATCAATTAGAAATAATGAGTCGTTTCTCACTGATTACTTTGAAACTCTGGGCATCCCTTTTCTAATGCAAAGTAGCTAGAGAGAGTGTGCCTTGGTCTAAAATAAACAGTTATGACCCGTTGGCTTTACTTTTCCTGATAGAGTACTGGAATTTGTATGTTAATGTGATTAGCGTTAACTGCCTCTATTTGTTTCTAGCCTCCATTGGGGTATGGTTATAGGGACTGCCATGGTGAGTGCTTCAAAATGTACAATTGCATGAAAATGTAGTAACAAAATCACAAATACAAATATATAATCTCCTTTTTAAAAGATAATAAATTATTACATACATTTGAGCCCCTTCTGCACAGTTGTATAAAATCTACATTGAACTGGATTATATGGCAGTGTGGACTCAGATAATCCAGTTCAAAGCAGATATTTTGGATGATCTGCCTTGATATTCTGGGTTATATGGTTGTGTGGAAAGGCCCTGACAGTGGGGGTAACTGGAGGAGAAAGATGACTGTGAACAAATTGGGTTATCAGACTTCATTTCAGGTGCAATGAGAACCAAGTGGAAATGTTAAAGCAGTGCCAGGGTCTGTGGCAGCTGTTTGAAGCAGTATGCACCAACAAACACACACACACACACACACACACACACACACACACACACACACAATCATTCTCATGGCATCCCTCTTACTTTTAAATTCTTCTCCTAACACTGAAACAGAAGACAGGGGTTAAACCCCAAGATCTGGAAAATTTACATAGTCTATGGACATAAGTTGTGGAAAGTTCTGAAGTTCAGTTCATTTGGACTGGATGAAGATGTGCCAAAACAAATAAGGAATTTATATTAAGATGGAACCATAAATATACCTTTTTTTGTCCCAGTCCAAAAGTTGCAACACAAAAAAATAAATTGCAAATATCTATCCAGATGTGATGTACAGTTGAGGCTGGGTACAGAACAGTCAAAACATATCAACATAAAATACATACAAAAATGCTTATCTCAAAACACACCATTATAAGATACACCAAAACACATGGTACAAAGCTAAAAATACAGCAGCAATTGAATGCAAATCCAAAACTCAAGTTGACTGTGTATGCAGGTGAAATGACCTGCCGGAAGAGATGGGCCTTCAGTTGTGTCTTAAATTCTGACAGTTAATTTAGTTATCAGATCTCTTCCAGCAGGTATTTTCACAGTCTTGGGACAGCCAACTGAAAGGTCCTCTGAGTGACAGTTGCCAGCATGGAGAAATGAATAGTTCTGAAGAATTAAACATAAAATAAAGCTGAAAAAAGCCAAACGTTATACACTTCTAGTCACAAGCAAGTCCCACTGTGTTCAGAGGGTCTTATTCACTGAAAAAGGTGCAAAGAACTGCAAAGGAACAAGAACTGCAGTCTAAAGTAGTTCTGATCTATTGTGCTTTATATTTTTTCTTATTCCTCTTCCAATGTTGTTCTGGTAATTTAAAAAAGACTTGCCACATTAGTGGTGTTTATAATATATGAATTATGTTTCTATTATTTTCCTCTCACAGTAGGTAGTCTTTCTGTAAGTTTTTGAAGACTGTAGCTAGGACTATAACACAAAAAAGTCGGCAACTGTACCAAAATGACTGAAAGCAGTAGTCAAGAAAAGATGAGATGGATTACAACAGTAATTGTGAGCTCTTCTCTTCAGGTACTGTGAATTTTCCCTATGACTCTAATAGGTATTCTAACTGGGTCACCACTTGTTAAAAATGATTTGGTGTTGGGACATTGAAAATAAATAGAGATTCTCCACTCTCAAACCAGCTAACTTGCTGCTCTTTCTGTAACCACCAAATATAGAAGATTTCTGATTCCCAGCCAACATCACACTGCCTACCTACACTTCCCTCCAACACTCATAGGGCTATCCCTGGGCATCAAAATACCAACTTCTAGCAGCACAGGAGAAGTGACCATGGCCACTAGGGTTTGAATGTGAGCTTCCAGAAGCACCTGCTTGGAAGCTCTTGGAAACAGACTGCTGTTCTTGAACTAATCTTAAATAACAAATTAATAACAATTAAGTATTTTTTTTTCGGTAAGGAAAGTATACCTAAGTTACAGTGAAGTTTTAACTTAAACTTTGTCCTTTTGTAATGCAAGTGTAATTTTTAGGGGACCTCATTTGGTGATGGAGGAGCAATGTCACATGGTTTGGGCTCTAGCTCTACTGTACCTTATTTGTTGCTACGTGCTCTCATGGGTTTAGAGGTGACAGTGAGGAAAATTGGAAAAGAAACTGAAGCCTGTAATATGCTGCTACTGCTTCTTTTTAAAGATGTTATTTACTTTGGAGAAAGTGGAAAGTAAAGTATTTTTTAAATTGTCCTGTAATAGAGACTACTCTATTATTATTATTATTATTATTATTATTATTATTATTATTATTATTATTACCTCACTTATTTATCTCTCCCGAAGGAGACTCAAAGCAGCTTAACATAGAAGCATTAGCATCCCAAATACCTGGGAGTCACTCTGGACCGTGCTCTTACCTACAAGAAGCACTGCCTGAACATCAAGCAAAAAGTGGGTGCTAGAAACAATATCATACGAAAGCTGACTGGCACCACCTGGGGATCACAACCAGATACAGTGAAGACATCTGCCCTTGCGCTGTGCTACTCTGCTGCTGAGTATGCATGCCCAGTGTGGAACACATCTCACCACACTAAAACAGTGGATGTGGCTCTTAATGAGACATGCCGCATTATCACAGGGTGTCTGCGCCCTACACCACTGGAGAAATTACACTGCTTAGCCGGTATTGCACCACCTGACATCTGCCGGGAAGTAGCAGCCAATAGTGAAAGGACCAAGGCAGAGACATCTCCAGCTCATCCCCTTGTTTGGGTATCAGCCAGCACGTCAACGACTTAAATCTAGAAATAGTTTTCTAAGATCTACAGAGACACTCGCTGGAACACCTCAGCAAGCGAGAGTCCAAAAGTGGCAGGCTCAAACCCAGAACCTCAACCAATGGCTGATACCAAATGAGAGACTCCCCCCTGGGCACACAGAGGACTGGGCGACTTGGAAGGCTCTGAACAGACTGCGCTCTGGCACCACGAGATGCAGAGCCAACCTTCAGAAATGGGGCTACAAAGTGGAATCCTCGACATGCGAGTGTGGAGGAGAGCAAACCACTGACCACCTGCTGCAATACAACCTGAGCCCTGCTACATGTGCCATGGAGGACCTTCTTGCAGCAACACCAGAAGCACTCCAAGTGGCCAGATACTGGTCAAAGGACATTTAATCAACTACCAAACTCACAAATTTTGTATTTTGTCTGTTTGTTTGCTTTGTTCTGTTAGAAATGTAATATAATTTGACTGGTTGTCCTGACACGACAAATAAATAAATAGCATACAATTTAAAATATACCAATATGCAAACATTAAAACAGGATTAAATATAAACAGTATTTTAAAATTCCCAGTTAAAAACCACTAAAACATATTCAAAGTTAAAAACCACAGCAATTCCCAACTAATCATTTTGATAATGTAAATGTCAAAGCTCTAAATTAAACTGTGTTGGACTTCAATTCCCATGCTCCTTCACCATTAGCCATTCTTGCCAATATGAAGTGAATTAAAACATAAAGTAGAACCTAATTGGATCAAGGTGGATTTATATGATCTGAAGAGAAACCAGAGTATGGATGGATTTAAATATTGCTAATGACTATGTAAATATTACATATTACTTTGAAATGTGCAAACAGTTTCTGATAGCTTTGTCACTGTGAGGTAACCTGTTTTAATAATGGCACACAGAATGATAAACTTGTTTAACAATGTATTTTAACCACTCACTTAGGGTCATGAAATTTCCATGTCACTTCAAAACCAGAAGCACAGGATTCGTTATTCAGATTCAGTGGAAGATGGCTCCATTATTTTTTCTCTTTCTGGTAAAGTATCTAAAAAAATGGCCAAGCAAGATAAGTGTTTGGTGCCACCATGTGGGCTTAAGTAACCTTGTGGGCCTGACTGCATGGCATCTGGCCCGCAGGGTTACTTAAGCCCACATGGCGGCACCAAATCTTGTTGGTGATATATGTAGGCATGACCTCCCATTGTACCAAGATATGTACTTTTTCATTTGTTAAAGAAGGAGTTAGTTACCCAATGTCTCCATGCACAACACCCATTTCCCCCACTTAATCACAGCTTGATGGTATTAGAGGACACCTCAATGGTCCTTCAGTGGCTGTGAAGACCTCCCATGCACCATGTTGTCCTCCCGGGCCAGGATGGCAATAGGTGTCCTGTTTTCCAGAACATCTCTCTGTCACATCAACTGTGCTTCCACTTTGATTGCTTTGCAATGCACATTGACAGCACTGGGAGTATTCCAGTGCTATCAATGTGCATTGCAAAGCAACCACAGTGGAAGCACAGTTGAAGTATGTGGCAGAGTTGTGGTCTCCCAGTACTTGATCAGGGGCATGGTCTTCAACTACTGGCATGAAGCTTAGAACAAAGTAAAAGTGAAAATAAAAAACCTTGGCTCTTTTGCATCATCTATGAATATAATTTAGTCTATTGTTCCAACTTGCAAAACCACCTCTTAGTATTCTTTGCCTAGAGACCTATGCTCATACTCATTGTTGAAATACAGTTCTGTTTTATTTATTTATGACATTTATATCCCACCCTTCTCACCCTGAAGGAGACTCTAAATATACATGAGCTGATATGAATAACAGAAGTTCACATGAATGAGTGAGTCAGGGTACATTTATGCTAGAAGGAGAGGTGGCTTGCAAACTGTGTTCAATTTTAATACGGGGTTTTAAGTTGCTAGCTTTACAAATTTTGTGGCATAGCAACAGGACCTGCTACTTTATTGGTCAGGCTAATGCTGCCTCATGCTGTAAATTTGGTACTGTGGAAGGCAACAAATGGATAGTCATGTAACTTGTTATTTTGATTATGTATTCTAAAAAAATAAATGGTTGAGACTTTCTTAATAAACTAACGTCCTTTCCCCCAGGTGTTGCATTTTTGTTGGCTGATACTCAAAGTTTGTTTGTCACAGAGAGACAAGGTTTCTTTGAAAGAATAAAGAAGTTCATGAGCATTCACAGGAATGGATTTTTGCTATTGTCAGCTGCCCTTCATGGACCAAAGGAGTGGGATGTGATGTTCAAAGTTCAGCAGAGGTAGGAAATAAATAAATCATCAATAGTTTTATTTCCAAAAGAAACTGGGTACAGAAACTTGTCCAGTCATCTAAATCATAAACAAAATTTATTTTTAAAGCTCAGAGAACAGTTTAGATAAGCAATAACCTTGCCTTGTTATTTCTAAGAAAATGATCCCTCAGTCAATGTGATGCAAGTTGTAGCCATTTTGACAATATGGCACAACCCTTGTATCAGTGGAACCAATATATCTGGTTTCATTATCATATTTCACTAATTCACTTAGGGGCTCTTGTACAACCTATACCCGCTACTCCAGTGGGTCTCAACCTGTGGGTTCCCAGTTGTTTTGGCCCACAACTCTCAGAAATCCCAGCGAGTTTACCAGCTGTTAGGAGTTGAAGGCCAAAACATCTGGGAGAAAGAAGCATATCCCACTAAAAAGTGATCACAATGGGTAGCACCACATCTGAACCCAGAGAGATGTTACTAATATTAGCAAGGTGCAACATATCCCAATAGTATAACAGGTTGGTTGAATCAGCTTTACATTTTCATTCAAAGGGTCAAAATAACATTGTATACTGTTACCTGGGACTACCTTTGCATGACAATTGTATTGGCACACAAATGGAATGGCCTTAGACCTTGAACTCTGGATGGAGTGTTGTTAACTTTGGAAGTATATTTTAATCATATCTAATATGTTGGAATTTTAAACTATTTTTGGTGAATTTGTTGTTTTGAGACACTGCATATGTGCCATTGTAAGTCGCCTTGAGTTAGAGAAAGGCGGAGTATAAATATGGCAAATAAATAAGTACATTTAAGGCTTCACAAAATCAAAGATTTGGTCTATTATTTCCTTATTTTAGGGCACTTATAATTGACATTTCAGCAGTAGGAAGATTACAAAGATGCAAAGAGAGAGAGAGAGAAGCACAGCATACAGTGAATGAATATGAACACTTGTAATTAGACACAGTTGAGAAATTAATGAGAGTAATTGTGTTACATAGGAGAAATTCCAAGGGAGAATAAGAATGATCCAAAATATACAACTGCATAGAGTAATACTTGCACAAAGTAATATAATGTGTAGATCGCTGTGCCTATTCATTTTCTGGCACTGATAAATGGAAGGTGTGAAGCAGGGGTTCTCAAACTTTTTAGGCAGAGGGCCAGTTCAGTCCCTCAGACTGTTGGGAGGCCGTTTGAAAAAAACCAAACAAACATACACGAATTCCTACACATACTGCATATCTTATTTGCAGTGCAAAAAATGAAAGAGCAATGCAATATTCAAAACGAAGAACAATTTTAACCAACATAAACTTACCAGGATCTCGATGGGAAGTGTGGGTCTGCTTTTGGTTGATGAGATAGTCAAGTGAATTAGGATTGTTGTCGTTGTGTGCCTTCAAGTCTTTTCAAACTTAAGGTGATCCTTCGTCTTATGTGTAGGGTGGGAGCCAAGTAAATGACCTTGGAGGGCTGCATCCGGCATGCAGGCCTTAGTTTGGGGATCCCTGGCCTACAGTATACTCTTACATGAGCAACAATAGGTGTCAAGTTCAGGCATCAATCAAAATAGTTGGAGCATTGACACAGGATAAGAATGTATGAGTCTGTGTATTGTGTGGTGCTGTGGCCCAGCTATTGCAATCTATATTTTTGGAAGCCAAGATTCATGTCTCTAAATGTTTTGGAAATGGGCTGCCACTGAAAATGATATGAAATTGATCTCTAGTTTAATCCCCAAGAGTCTACAGTACTTTGGATGAGATATTCAAAATCATATATGACCATAGTTTCATGTGACAGATTCAAAAGCACAAAATCTAAATCAACTTTCTTACACAGCAGGCTCAATGTTTTTGGATTAGTGGAATGATTTGAGAATAATTGTCCAGCACTTGTTAGACTACATGATTGCAAACGATAAACACCACCCAGTTCCCATTTCTTATGAGATATTTTCATATGTTCCCTTGTAAAGTGGGAAAATTAAATACTAGTTTCATATTTTGTTGAGATGAATATCAGAAAACATGTATACAGCTTATACGTTCCAGTGGCAGGGTAGATATTGGAAGCAGACCAAGTGCCATTTATTTTCCTCTCTGCATCAAAGGAGCAACTATTGTAATGGAATGTTTGATTTCCAGAAAGCCGAAGCTAAAACCAATTTAGGTTAAAGTCCCTGGCCAATTGGCAGTTGCTTCAAAATGACAGAATATGAGAGGGAACGTAAGTGGTTACTGCTTATGCAGTGAAGCGCTTTGTCAAATCTAATGAAAAGTTTCTCAGTCTCTTCTTCCCTGTTCTGCATTCCTATTTAAAAATGCATAGTTTTGGTCAATAAGATACCTAGGGTGAAAGCACATGTTGTTTTTGGGGGAGAGGGTGTGTCCCCTCCCCCAAAAACAGTGTGATGAAGAAGCCAAAGGTAATCATGATTCTAGGACGCGCCAAAAGAAGTATAGTGAAGAGTACTATTCTAGTCTTATTTGGTCAGACCTAGCTTGATTTCACTTATTTCACTTTGAAATATCAAAATATGGTAAGCACTGTTCCGCATGAAAGAGGATTTGTTGTTTAACTTTTAGTCAACTGTATCCTTGCTAATAGAGTAAGACTATCGTGAAATTTCAAAGGAAGAATCTATTCTGCATAGATGAAGATGGATCATCTTGCTGCCCTGAAATGTTTTGAAGTGTCAAAAAATCTTTTTTAAAAACAGCTAGGAATATACTGCAACTAGTGATAATAAAGTTATCAATCTAAAGTCTCCTCTGTTTTGTTTTATTCTTCCACACTGCATCAAGTTGATTACAAGGCATATGGCAAAGATGGGAAACAGTGTTTTAAGCTCCCAACTCCCATCACCCTTAGACAGCTGTGCCAATAGTGAGGGATGCAGTTGGAGTTCAGCAACTTCTGGAAGGCCAGAGGTAGTAATCCAATTCTAGTGACACAGAAATGTCAGGCTTTGTAAAATTCAAATACGGAGCAGTCAGATTATAATGATGGTAGCATATTACTATTTGAGATCGCAGTGTAAAATTATAAATATGGTTTCTAGCATGACTGAAATTGAGGAATTTCGGTGCTTTAGGTTCTTAGGCAGTAATTTACGGATAATCCCAGTCCACAATACTGCTGAAGCCGTCAAACTCATGCTGACTATAGCAAAGGTGAGTAAAATAATTTATTTTATTATCAAATTAGTACAAAATAGCTCTCTGCCTATGTTAATACATCAACACATGTAACATTTCTTTGAAAATGTCTTGTCCATTACTATCCAGATAGCACCTAATGCTGCTACAGCAGTTTTACAACCATTCATTGTTTACAATACTATAGATATATCTATATATCCTTCAGAAAGAAATGCTATTTCTGCAAGAATATGGTTTTAAAAAGTTCACACACATACATATATATTTAGTGTGTATGTGCGTGTGTGTATATATTCTCATTCCTGTTTTGTGATCTGCATGCCTCATTTTCCATTGTCAACATAGATAAAAGCAGACTTATGGCCCTGTGGATATTGATAAAGAGTTCAACTCCCATTCACTTTATCAAGAACAGCTAATTGGAGATGGGTTGATGGTAGTTGGCCACACATTTCCTAAAAAGCTAACTGTATTTTAAGATATGCTTTTATATGGAACTGAAATGAGGTGCTGTGATTGATGCCAACAATAATCTTTAGTAAGAAGATAGTGGTAGTCACCAGGGTACTCACGCTGCCAGTAGTGGAGGTGCATAGCCAGCAGCATAGCAGCAAAGGTAATGTGGCCACAGTAAAAGCAACTATGGCTGTAGGGCAGTGATTTCCAATCTTTGGCTTTTCAGGTATTTTGGACTTCAACTCTCACAATTCCTAACAGCTGGTAAGCTGGCTGGGATTTCCAGGAGTTGGAAGTCCAAAACACTTGAAGGACCAAAGGTTGGGAACCACTGCTGTCGGGCAACAACAGAGAAAGACATCTTTCTTCTCCTCAGAAAAGAAAAGGAGGTCAATCTTCCAGCTCCCTATCAACTGTCATACTTCTTGGCTTGCTATGCACCATTTAAGAAAGTGGCTATGTCAGCATAACCATTATTCTGGTTTAGCTTATCAACAGGCTCTTAGCCATTAGCAAGTCCATTCTGAGCAGCATCTATTTCATTTTCATTCTGTGCGTGTCTGTGTGTCAATGCTTTCTAGATCTGGGTATTTAGATATTTAGAATACACTTTGTTCTTCAACCAGAAACCCTTTCATAGAGAATTCTGTTGGATATCTCAACAGGCTGAGCTAGAGATCGCCACTATAGGAATAGCATGAGTTTTTTTTATTCCATGGGAGAAGGATAAACATGTTTTGAAATTGGAATACAGTAAGTCCCCAACTTTTTTCCTGGGGGTTAGGGGCACAGGAACCTTGCGAAAGTGGAAAAGCAATTAATCTTCTTTTAAACCTGAGAAAGACATTTCTAGGAATGTCTAGCTTCTCTAGCATGACTTTATGGTCACCTTCTTCTGGAATTTGACCATAGAGTTGTGCCAGATGTAGCAATTCTTAGAATATAACCAAATCTGTGATTAATCAAATCCACAAACATGGAGGGCCAACTAAAGATCTTAAATCTGATGCATTCTTCAATCTGATCAATTACCCACACATGAGTCATTTACAGATCTACTTCCTTAAGTATCATTGTAATGGCAACACTCAGTTTTCAGTTCCTATCTTGTGCTCTCTTCATAAGCCATTCGCTTAACCTTTTCTATTTCTTGCTCTTCATGCAAAGACCACTTCAAAACCACATCTGGACAACATTCGCTACAGAATGCTAATGGCAAAGTCACAAATTGTAGAGCAAAGCCCTGTTTGGAAAATGCTTCATCAACGCCAACTGGATTGTAGTTTAAATTAACACCACTTAAGGTTTTAATCAAAATGTTGACCATATTTATTTACAAAAATACACTCTCAGTTTGGAATGGAAAACACATTTATACAAAATGCATTCAGAATGAAAATGTGTGTGATTTGTTTCAACTTTAATTTCCTGCATAACCATAAAAAACATTACTGTTTACTGAAGACAGGTTTTCAATCTTCAAAAAATATGAAAGACAAATACTACTTTGGAAAGAAATTGATACTCTAATATCCTTATTCAATATTGTGGGATAAAGATCATTATTAAGACCACAGAAGAACTACCAGTAATTTCAAATGTACAATAACTGTTTACTGAGATGTAGCCGTCATTTCCTAAGAATAACTATAGTTGTTGATGTTAATTCTCCTTCCTACAAATGAAAATAAACATTGTTCAAGAGGTATTCTCAATTCAGTGATCTTGATCTCCTAGTGTCGTTATTTGGGGCTGTCTAGAATGGAGATACTTTGGTTTAAACATCTTCAGGAAGGAAAAAAATACTTGCAGCTGAAACATGTGTAAAAATTTCCTGAGTAGTTACTTGACATGTGATATTGGTTTCAATGCGTCTACTGCCATGACTCTTGAATAATGAAAGGTTTTTGGCAAATTAGTACTTAATAGAACAGTGCCATATACTATGTTATGTTTCACACTTATCACTGTATCTCCCTAAACAGAATAAATTCCTTGTTTCTATACTACAAGTCTGGAATATACTCCTTATGACAGCAGATGCACATGCTGATTTCTTGTGTTTCTTCATTCCATCTATTAAGGAAATTCCTGACTGCTCCCTTATTTGTCTTGGGGTTATGATATATAAAAGCAATAGAACTTTTCAACCATGCTTAATTTTTTGTCTGATGTTCCTTTCTGAAATGCTTAAGGGTTTATAACCAACCATACCTTCAATTTCCACAACCGGTGCATTTTTCTGGTGGTGATAATAAAAAGCGCCAACACAAGGTGTGCATGAAAATGAACCATTTAATACTGAACTATTCAGGTTCAGCATTAAAAACTGGGATAACTCTTGTAGCTCTTTTATCTGCACTGCAGCTTGAGTCTACAGGGTTTGGTCAGACCAACTATTCTGGGAACAGAAGGGCTCTTCACTCATGAAGCTGATGGAAAATCCATCAGAAGGGATCCAATTGAAAGGGGAGGAAGGGAATGAAAGCATTTTTACTCATTCTTCCTTCTCCTGTACTGTTGTCCCATGAAACTACAGAAAGGCCCCACAACCATCTGGAACAGATTTTCAGGGAGCAGATGGGATTAGCAAAGACTACGTCCACTTTCTCTAGTTTGTGTAACAAGAAATCTGAGCCCAGATTAGAACATCTATGTGGACCTTCCAGAATATTTTCTCACTCCCATTTGTAGTTACATTGATTTCCATGTATTATGCTACATCACACAAAGCTTATTATGCTTCTTACACCTTGGTTATGCATACTCCTGGCAGTTTTGTCTGTGTTCGGATCACTAAAATGCAGTCTGGTTCAGCAAAGTCTGAGTGAGACACACTGTTTGTGTATTTAACAGGTATGCTAAATACAAGCTTAAACCCAAAGGGTTTTTAAATACATTCTATTCCTTGGACTTCTTTTCAGAAGCCTATACATTCACCACTCAGGATATGTAACCTTTACATTTATATTTTCGAATCACAGTGCCAGAAATACATTTTTAAATCACAGTGTCAGAAATAAAATACAGTGCATGATGTGAAAATTTAGAGCAAGGGAGACAAAGTGCTTTATTTGATTCCAGGAATTTAGTAGGAAAAGGTATCTGTGAGTTCTTCGACTCTGGCCAGAATGCTTTCGATTAAATCAAAAGTAACAAGCGCTGAGTGAAGTACCTGAAATATTAGGGGGAAATGTTAATTATACACAAAGCAGTTACCAACTACCCCTCCCCACAACGTAATTCTAAATCAAGTCTTTCACTAAAAGAAACATAAAATCTGTCTTTATATATTTGAACAGTTCCACCAAAACTTAATCACTTACCTGAAGCTCCATTTGAGATGTCAGTTTAGACATCTTTTTCCCGCCTACCGTTATAGATGTAGATGCCGCAGAAGTGGAAGACTCTAACAGGAAAGAATGAAATGATCTGGTAACATTGCTTCCTGTAATTTTAGCAATTTTAGCTGTCATTTTTGAAACTTCATTCTACACCATTTCATCTGCCAGGCCTAGCGGTTCCACAAAGACAATATTGAACAAAATGAATACGTCTCCAAAGGCTAATTAGGCTGCCCTGCTACACGAGCCCGAATTTGTCTACATTTTATGGATAGTCATATAGGTGTTCTGGTTTTTCCATGCAGCACTATTCTTGTCTTTGAATGTGTAAACCTGAGGAGACTAAGAATTTTAAGTACACAATCCCAACATATGTTTTACATGCACGTGAAATACGGGGGAGGGGAGGGAGAGCACATTGTTTCATTCTTCTATGCCACACTTGAAATCTGCAGCCCAAGCCTACAAGGACTATCCATATATTTCTTAATAATCAAACGATTGTGCCAATTTACATTGCTGGGTGCATGTATAGACCTCTGTTTATACTAAATGCTGTGGCCACAGTGGGTCTGAAGAGCTTCCTTCTGTGATTCATTAAAAATAAACAAAACCTCATTTTTTGGATGAATGCATGAGTTGAATTTACAACAAGCAGCTGCACAATTTTCAGCATCCAATTATTTTTACTTTTGGGTAATAGCAAAGCATTTTAGAATGCAAGCCTTGAAAATACGAAGATAATGGCATAGGCACAAGTGAGGGAGCCCTCAGAATCACACTGCAGGAAAGAGATCAAGATTCTGGGATGCTCTTCAATGAATGTAACAAGCATCATCAGTATAAGAGACTAGAAGGATAGAGTGGTCAGAACATCACTCACTTCCTCCACATGAAGAGCATATTAAAAACTCTTGAAGAACTATGCTATATATAACAGTGAACCAGTATTTCATGGGGGGTGGGGTGGGATTTAATGCTTGACCTTTCATTTACATTAGAAATCCAATTTTGCATTTCTGTGAGATCCCACCGCACCTGTTACAAGAGGTAACCCTGCTTCACTTTCACCGCTTTCCTGTGGATATTTTAACAACCTGTGCTGGAGAACTATGATCAATCAGAAATTAGAATTGCATTAGAAAACCTACAAATGTTTAAAGAAATGTTGTCTCTAGACATTTCTCGGTCCTCCAGCATTGTTCAATTGTCAACTTCTATGGCAGAAGTTGACCACAGAGTTGTGCCAGAGAACCAAGAAATTTGCAAAGAGAACATATCAAATCTGCAAAAGTTAAACCTGCAAATATGACAGGCCGACCATATTTTTTTTGTTTGAAAAAGCCACAAAGTCTGATCATTGTGATTTAAAAAGAGATGTTATTGTTTTCAGTGGCAAAGAACCTGCTTTGCAGTAAGGCCTTAGGTTTAGCCTTGATATTTCCATTTGAAGATCTCAGGAAAAATCTTTGGACATAGCAGACAATACTGTGTTTTTGGAAAAGTGGTCTATGACAATTTTATACATCATCCCTGTAATCTGGAGGTTTTTTCCCCCTAAATATTTTATAGCCCAAACACCTTTGTCTAAAATATCGTCATCATAGCATCTTCTATCAACGCATCAGAAAACACATTTGTCAATTCAAATAGTATTAATTAAAATAATGATAATGGATAATACCTCCTTTGTTTTCTCTTCGGTGTTTTATTTCTGCTTTATAGTGTTGTTTTGATAGAAAAAGCGCAGTATATAAGGGCTTCAGGAATGTCTGTTGAATGTTGTGAAGTTCTTTCCACACAGAGGTCTCATGAAAAAGAAAGGAAAAATCAAATCTGTACTGTAGCAGTCTGTAACTGCAAACAAACCCCCCAGCCTGAATTGCATAATCTGTTGCTTTTAAGGAAGGAAAGTAGTTTAGATCCTGTAATTCTAAGCAACATTTTAATTTGTTGGATCTCTGCAGCCCTTCCAGCCATTGTAATGTAGCATTTGCCTTATTTATAAATATGTTTCCAGCTAGACCACAACTGGAAACTCACCAAGCTTTTGTTGGGCCACTAAGCCTAAACAATACAGTGCAATCTAAAAAACTCTGCTGTTCCATTATAGAAGTTGCAGAAATGGTATCTTTAGGTTAGCTTTCTTTACTGCTTTTTATTAAGTCAGAAGCTAATTGAAAATATACTGCAAGTCGCTTCTGGTGTAAGAGAATCTACTGTCTGCAAAGATGTTGCCCAGGGGACGCCTGGATGTGTTACCATCCTGTGGGAGGCTTCTCTCATGTCCCCGCATGGAAGCTGGGGCTGACAGATGAGAATTCACCGTCTCGCGGATTTGAACCGGTAACCTTTAGTCTTCAGGCCAGCAGTTCAGCCAGCACAAGGGTTTCACCCACTGCACCACTGTGGCTCCCTTTACTGCTGAGGTTAAACAAATGGTAGTTACTTTTCATTTGTAACACTTTAAATCTTTCATTATTACTCTTGAAACAGTCTATCAATTGGAAGCACTAATCTAGGATTGTACACGGATTACCCTCCCAATAATTCAGAACAAGTCTGTACTTGGAATCTTCTCTGCTGCATTCCGTTCTATCACATTCACACAGTATCAAATGCCAATTGCAGCCCTGCTCTAAAGACACAGCAAATGTTGGGATATGATCCATCAGCAAAAAGGCTGAAGAATATAAGCAAAGGTTTTAAAGTGTGTATGTTCTGAAGTTAAAACACATCTATTGACATATTAGTGCTCTATTATGACCTTTTTGTTTGTATGGATTATAGAGCAGTTAAAGATACAGCCATCAAAAGAGACCGGTTTCTGTCTCATTTATTAACCCACCATTTCTGGGTTAATTAAATTCATGCATCTATACCAGTGATTCCCAACCTTTGGGCCTCCAGGTGTTTTGGACTTCAATTCCCAGAAATCCCAGCCAGCTTACCTGCTGTTAGGAACTGTAGGAGCTGAAGTCCAAAACACCTGGAGGCCCAAAGTGTGGGAACCACTGGTCTACACTGACATGGGCATTGCTGGTGCTTTGGAGATTAGTGTTGTTCTCAGAACTGGAGCAGCCAGAAAACCAAAGTTGCACTCACTTTTCAAAGCTTAATGAACCTTTGATAAACAATCTTATCTTAAATTACAGTTTATGTAAATACTCAAAAACATTTAATGTACTGATGGTTCAATTAATGTAATTTTATAGGTATCTATTTTTATTTTTGAAATTTACTAGTAGCTGCTGTAATTTCCACCTTCGGCTTATACTCAAGTCAGTAGGTTTTCCCACTTTTTGTGGTAAAATTAGGTGCCTCAGCTTATATTCAGGTCAGGTTATACTCGAGTATATATGGGTACATTTCAGAGATTTCAGAAGCCGGATCATTCCTAATTCCTAAAATGCTTACGTGGGAGAAAATGCCATTAAAAATAATAAGTTTTACTTTTGAATAAACGACGGTAGGATGCAGCTGCAAGACTGCACTTCAGCTGATAAATTACATTTTCAAATTAAGTTTTATTCTCAATAACAAATGCCTAATAAACAGTGGCTAAAAATAGTTAACCTGTATTAATTACATAAGTTGTCTATTTGTGTCAAGCAATGGACAGGGAAAGCAGGTTAGGGAGATAAGCCTGTAAAAAAAAGAAGAGATGCCAGAATACTGCACAGAATATATTAATTAAGCTGAGAGGTAGAGTTAAAGCTGTTTGTTGTGAGAAAAGAGTAAATGATTTGCTAGTTTGGAAGAGAGCTCTCCAAACTGAGCTGCCTTCAGCGCCCTGAGAGCTATTTACCTTCTAGCAGAATAGAATTTAGCTGAAGATGACAGTTCAGTAAAGCATATCTACCAGGAGCAATTATAATGATGTGACCTGGCTCCATTGCTCTCATTTTCTCCATCACTGGTTTCAAGAGCTTTGCTTGCAAGGCTAAATTTAGCCTACTCATTGTCTTGACACAACAAGCCAGGATTTTAAATCTTATATAAGTCAAGTACTGTATCCTCAGAGAAGATACTGCAAAGGCAATATTGGGGTTTCACTCTTAAATACTTATACCTCGGTCTGTGAAGGAAAAGACTTAATATAAGTAACTAGCTCTTCTGTTATGGAAACTAATAAGTATTGATTAAGACAAATTTGTTTTCATTCCTGCTGCTGTTTAAATAGATATATCCAAACTGGATTACTTTGTACTGTGTGCCTGTTTTTGAAACTGCAACAGTGGAAGGACTTCACAAATGGAAAACTGGTACTTACTATAAATATTTCATTTCTAGTGAAGATAGAGAGCATACTTACATGAAGTGGGATATGAAACATCCAATTTCCCATAGTCTTTGTTGGGAGAGATTGAACATTCTGGAGGGATATTTATTAAAACTTAGCTAGAAGGTTTCTATGTCTTAAGTCAAAAGCGATTGTGGACTAATTTCGTCTTTTTCTTTTTGAAAAAAACAAACAGTCAGATGCCCTGGAGCCTCTGTGATGCTTTTGGAAATAAGGAAGGTTGACTGCAAAATAAAAACCTTATCTAGAAATCCTCCAAACTATTTCTTCATGAAAAAGCTAGACTATTAATTAAGGACTACCACGCACTGATACTAAATTAGCACAAATGGAGCCCCCAATGGCGCAATGGATTAAAAAACCCTTGTGCCGGCAGGACTGAATACTGACAGGTCGGAGGTTCGAATCCGTGGAGAGCGCAGATGAGCTCCCTCTGTCAGCTCCAGCTCCCCATGTGGGGACATGAGAGAAGCCTCCCACAAAGATGGTAAAACATTAAAATATCTGAGCATTCCCTGGGCAACATCCTTGCAGACGGCCAATTCTCTCACACCAGAAGTGATTTGCAGTTTCTGAAGTTGCTCCTGACACACACACACACAAAATAATCACAAAGTTATCTAGTATTATAAGTTCTGAATTGGATACTTGCTACAGGAAGACAGCAAATGCTTGTTTGTTTGTTTTTTAAAGTTGGATTTAAAAATGATTCAATTAATTTCAAATTGCACAAATCCCTAAAATGCTTGCACTACTTTTTACAAAGCAGTGGTAATGTTAAACATATCTTCTCTCGCATTCCTTTTACATCAGTTACCAATTTTAAGAAGATCCAGCTGCACTTACTCTATTTTCATCTTCCTTATCCTTAATGAATAAATATCGTAGCAGATTTAGTGCTGCCATAATCCTGCAAATATAAAAATAATTCATTTAGGACACACAACATTTTTCATTCACAGAAGGATGCCCTGTGGAGGACTTAGTGCAAAACCAATTTATGTTATGAATACATTTCACAAATAATCTATAGAACGGCTATAAAGGAAGATTATTTTACTTCTTTTTTCTTGAGGATTTTAGCTGAAAGTTCCCACATCTGACATCCTTCTGTAACACTCTGAATGGATTTACCCACTTACAAAGCAAATGGGTTTCTGAAGAGCCAACTGACAACAGGTATCATTGGCTGAAAACAATCAGTATAAAGAGAGCTAAGTACTTAAACCTTCTTGATTACCAACAAAATACTCAACTATCAAATAAAGCAAATTTAGACCGGATGTGGGCACGTGATCCGCAGGAGATTTTTACAGACCTCATCCCCTACACCCCCAAAATGCTCTGTACTCAAAGAGACTTCGCTGAATTATAAAAAGTAAAGTAAAGGTTTCCCCTTGACATTGAGTCTAGACATGTCTGACTCTGGGGGCTGGTGCTCATCTCCATTTCTAAGAGGAAGAGCCAGCGTTGTCTGTAGACACCTCCAAGGGCATGTGGCCAGCATGACTGCACGGAGTGCCATTATCTTCCTGCAGAAGCTGCACCTATTGATCTACTCATACTTGCATGTTTTTGAACTGCTAGGTTGGCAGAAGCTGGGGCTAACAGTGGGAGCTCGCCCCACTCTCCAGATTCAAACCACTGACCAATTGGTCAGCAAGTTCAGCAGCTCAACGGTTTAATCTGCTGCACCACCGGGGCTCCCTGAATTATAGAATTGTAATTAGGGGGTCCCTTGAATTATAGATGCTGCATAAATATACTAATTTACCTATAAACCACAGAAAACAACTTATACCATTTTTGCCCATTTGCTGATTGATTTGTGGGCAGGGGAGGGGGGAGTTTTCAGAAGGGTTCAGAGTTGGAAATTGTGCTCAACATCTTCCAGGTTCCCATTCTAAGCATCTGCAGATCTCAGTTTGCCTAGCAAGCATTGATAGCATCATTTCAAAAGCATCTAGCAGTCTGGCAGGTGGGAAGGAAAGGAAAAGAGGGAAAACCTCAATCAGATAATTCTACAGGGGTTCTTGCACTGTTTTACCTGTCTGAGTTCTGGAGAAGATCCGTTGAAGCACCTTCTGGAAGAAGTAACACTTTGTCTAGTAGTTTGATCAGTGTGTGCCCAAGAAAAAAACTGTTGCCTTCTGGTTTCTGAAAGACAGAATGCGGTAAAAGAAACAATTAGTGAATGCTTCCACTGTATAGTCAGTCAGGAGTTATCAGTCTAATCAATTTAGAAACTAAGACTATCTCTTTGTATTCTATCTCCAAACTACACATTTTGTTGGGTTTTTTTTTTTGCAGTAGCAGTTTTACGTTGTTGATTCCTCTATTTAGCTACAATTCAGTTCGAGCAATATTTCATTCAACTTTGATTTTCTGCTCTCTAAACTTTAAATTATTACTGAAAAATCAGTTTGTAGAGATTTGTTCTGGTACATCTCTGATTAATGGAAAAGTCAAAAGAAGCCAAGCAGTTGGAATAAATTATGCACAATTCCATAAATCTATTGGAAGTTACATGGGCCCTACAGCTATATTTCAAGAGGTTTCTGTTTCTTTTATCAAAGTATTTGTGTTCAAAAGCTTCTTAGTTCTGATCAGAGAGGGTTGTACAGAGTGTCTGTACAAGCAAAGGGAGGCACAAGATTTACATCACCTGAATGTTGCGATATGTTAGTATGCATTTCCTGGTTTTTAACACCATCGCTTTTTTTCATGTCAGGAGCAACTTGAGAAACTGCAAGTCGTTTCTGGTGTGAGAGAATTGGCTGTCTGCAAGGATGTTGCCCAGGGGACGCACAGATGTTTTACCATCCTGTGGGAGGCTTCACTCATGTTCCCGCATGAGAAGCTGGAGCTGACAGATGGGAGCTCACCCCACTCCCCGGATTCGAACTGCCAACCTTTCGATCAAGCGGTTTGAATCCAGGGAGTATTTGCAATAGGATGATGGCCAGAAAGCTGCTTACTAAAAATAAAAGTGCAAAAACCTTAAAGGGCACACAGGAATTCAATATTAGGTATGCATTAAGGAATAATGATATTCCTTACTGTTCCCATTCCTCCAAAAGAGAAACTGGGGTGAAAAGGCAGGCACAATAAATTGTCTATGCATGCCTTTCCCCACAGTCACCTCCTTCTTACCACATGAAAGATGCATGTACAATTGTACATGCAATATCAATGTTACATAGATCCTTGGAAGGAACAACTAATGCACTCTGTTGTATTGTAATAAGGAGAGAAAAAGTGGCACGTATACATATGTAATGGCCAAACAGATTCAGTTGCTGCTGCATGTGTACATGAACGTTCTCAAACGAAAACACAAAGGCAAAAGAGCCTAATCTCTCCTTTGAAATCTTAACAACACTCCTCACCTTTAAGGCTAAATCAATCTGATTTTTAATGTTCTGAATGATGTATGCTTCCATGCCGGAATGATTACTACTTTGCAACAAACACCTGCAACAGAATACAGATTTTTAAACTCTATGCATTCTTATCAGATCCACTCAAATTTTTATACACATCTGTAATAAGACTAATACAAAGTTAACCAAAGAAAATTATAGTAATCTTAGCATTTGTTACTCATCAATAACTGTGCAACACGAAGACATACCTGAACAATATGTATTTTCCTTCTTCTTCAAACTTGTCAAAACACAGCTGCAAAACTTTTAAACTCTTTTTTCTCTACAGAGAAATACAAGTAACGGGTGAATGAATGAGACTAACGTATGCTTCAGACCCAACCATCTCAAAATGTACACGAAATTCAGTTACATACCAGGGGTTCAAAGGGGCACATTGTAGCAACTTTTACCAAATCCTGCCATTAAAAATAGAAAAAATATATATTATTGAAGCTGAAGAAAACAAGCTAAAACAAACTCTATTCATAGAATGTGGGTTTTTAAAAGAAACGAACTAATTCCAACTCACAAAAATAAACAGTGCTGAAAAGCTGTAACTCCATCCTTAAGCCACATTACTGCTTAGATTATATATTGGAGGGGTCAAGGAAGTAAGCCATCTGCAATAAAGGCAGAGAGAAGTGGATTAAGGAGTGAGTGACAGACATCAACTCAGATATAATGTTCCCGAAACAGCCATATGATTGCAACAAATGTATTGAAGGAAAGAAAATCAGTAACTGATTGATTTCCCTTTAAACACAACCAGCTGCTATCCATACTTTCCAAACAATACATGCAATATATGAGATAAGTCGTCCCTCCTAATTTGCAGGTTTAAACTTTGGAGATATGGATGACAAATTTGAAAAAAAAATGTTTCTAGTTCAAAAGTGTTATTTTCTGTTTAATTGTGCAGCACTTACTTTGAAAGTAGTTGTTATACTCCAGAAACCTTGTTTTTGTGGTTGCAACAAACTACGTTGAATTAGTTAAGACTCTATCATATATTCATTGAAAAACTATAGCAAAATGTGCTGAAGGATGTCCTGCAAAAAGTTCTTCGGGCTGTATGGCCATGTTCCAGAAGCATTCTCTCCTGACGTTTCGCCCACAACTGTGGCACCTCACAACCTCTTATTTATTTATTTATTTGAAGCGTTTATATTCTGCCCTTCTCACCCTGAAGACAAGCATTCCATGCTGAAACATAAAATTGCTATAACTATACACAAACACTACAAACAGTTACATCTACTTTAAAATCAGTTGGTTACAAACCATCACAGAACACCATGCTGTCTCCGGTCAGCGGAGTGGGTTTCCTATTATTGCTTTATTGCACTATCCCAAAGGCTTGGTCCCACAGCCAGGTTTTTACTATCTTAGGATGCCTGCCACAGTTAAAATCTGAGGATGCCTACCACAATTGTGGGCGAAATGTCAGGAGAGAATGCTTCTGGAACATGGCCATACAGCCTGGAAAACTCACAGCAACCCAGTGATTCTGGCCATGAAAGACTTCGACAACAAGTTTTTGCAGTTTAATAAACTTTTCCATATTTGTTTTATGATAGAACCCATTAGGAAATGACATTTATAACCCATGAACAAAAATGTTACATGGTGTTATTTGCTGACCCTTCTCATGTTGCCCTGCACCATTTTTAATAGGGATTATCATACAACTAATTTCCATCTTGAGCTGTGTTCAGTTAAGTCAGGCTTTGTCAGAAGTCAAATCTTTGGTTGCTGAGAGGAAACAAAAGTGATGGTATGCCTGGTTCAAAGTGGTTACAGAGCTAAGTAGCTAATATAGAATTGCAACCATCAATTAGCTCTTTCAATTATGTGAATGTTCATTCTTGTTTCATTCTATTCTATACTTCTATTCATATATTTCAAAACTCTCCTCACATTTTATACTGAAACAACATAGCTATCTTTTTAAATCATTTTGTACCGATGGTTAGAAAAAGACCTTTATTTTTGCTTCTGGCAAATATCTGGATACAAGGAGGATTCTCTATTGCAGTGAAAGAACAAAGCATGGAAAATGTGCTAAATGATTCATTTACAAAAGCCCACAGAGGGAGGGGGATTTGAGCTGGTTTGGATCCCTTGTTTAATTAGTCTCATTAAAATGCTGAATAATAATTCTGCTATACGTTCTTCCCAAAGAACTTGTGAAAAATCAACACAGAAGGGATAGCATAATCTCTGCTAAAAAGTTTACTGTTTCTATCACCTTACCTCAGATGTTGCAACAAAGACTTTGAAGTCCAAGTGCTCCGTGTGAAGGCTGTCATTTTCCAGCCTCAACAGACAATTCTCCAATAGAACCTACAAATTATTAATTAATGGATTATTTATAAATTTTAGTCATGATCTAATGAACACACAGGTGTATTACCCAATTTGTTGGAATGACAGAGGGTTGCTGGGATGTGCCTAAAATTCCATACGAATGCATTAGATCATTCATATTTTTCACTTGTAGTCATTTGCATCACAAGATTTGCCAAATGGGTAGACCAATGAGCTCAGTTTTCCAATAAATCACAGGAGATCCAAAACGGGTCCTTTCAGAAAGAAATTATAAACCAATGGAATTATTTTCTAGCCCTATTGTTAAATCTCACATTTTATAAGAAGCCTTTTCTGATTTCAGCCTGGGAAATGCCTATCACCATAACAGATGGGGTGTCCATTTGGAGATACAGTTTGCATGTACTTTTCTTTGTAATCCCATCCTGGAATGTACTACTTATTCACGCTTGATAGGATGAGAGCAACTGGCAGATTATAGACTATACAAACAACCCATTTCCTTTAAAAAAAATGGTTTATGGTGCACACAGGAAACAAAACCGACACCAGAAGGAAAAACAGAACAAACAAAACAAAACAAAAAAAAAACAGAAAAGAAGAAAAAAAGGTATACAAAAGAATATGCAAGTTTACAGAATGGTATGCAATCAGCGCTCGTTAAATATATGAAAAATCAACTTTGTACAGTTATTATACCTTAACGTTTATTGTTCCTGTAACCCCACACCCGGTGAACCCAACCTCCATGATCTCCGACACCACTCCGTATGGATCACATAACTAACCCACAACTATCCACGTCTTCTTTCACTAAATCCCCTTTATGGCGATCTTCAAATCTACTTTTGTCTTCTTTTCGAGATATCCAATTGCCAACATCAATTTTTTAACAAATTCTTCATTATTTCCTCCTCTGCTGCTATTTGTCATTTTGGCCATTTGGATATAATCTACTAATTTATCTCTCCAATCCTCAATAGTTTACCCATTTCCAAACAATTGTGCTTAAGCCTTGAGACTTACAAGAAAGGAAGGTTTTTAGACACAACCATTTTGCATGCTAAATTAAATCAACTTGTAAACAGCAACAAATCTAACCTGGAATGCTATTTCCTGGGAACAAGGCTACATACTAGAGCATGCTGACATAGCCACTGCATACAGAACTGTAGCCTTCCACTCATGCTTATTGTGACATCCAAACCTGACACTCTGGCATGATGCTTCCCTAACAAGCCAGGGTAACGACAAAATAGCAAATTATGGATTTTTTCCATGGCTTGCTAAGAGAGACAAGCAAATGTGCTGAATTCAGGTGTCATGGATGGAAGGTTGCTGCATCAGAAACAATTAGGCAGCATCTGCCTGTACATTGCCTGTCCCAAATATGCCAGGACCGCTAAATAGTTTTGGCTCATTATCATGTCAAAATAAACCTATTGTTTTCATATTATTTGGTGTAGTTGAAGGTTAGGCATATTCCAGAGCTGTTAGAGCTGTCACACTGAAAAACTGGAGCTGCTGTTGCATTGTTCTCAGTTGCTTTATGGATTGTTTGGGGGCTGTCTTGGGCAAAGTCTCCCAAAGCACGACTCTATTCCAATTAAAAAGGTGTTTGGTCTTTTTTTCAGCTGGAAAACAGCTTGTTCAGGGGGTGCTCTGAATATGGGAAGTCAGTGGGGGACTGAAGGCCATGCTAGACATCCCCAAGGGTACATGTAACCCAAAAGATGCCTGACTGAAATCTCCAGAGTAGTGTTTCAGGAAACCCCATTTAAATTAAGAAGACCCGGTTGCCTAGCAGCAATGCTTAATGGATTAGGTAGGGGCGGATTGTGGCTCAGTGGCAGAACATGTGTTTTGGAAGCAGAAGGCCATAGGATTAATCCCTGATTAAAACTATTGGCTGGCAGGTGATGAGAAAAAAAGTTCTACATGGGGCCTGTGAAAACCACCATCAATCAGAATACAAAACAGCAAGGAAACAGTGGGTTAGAGAATCACAGTACAGACTTAAACTTCATTTATCATATCCCACTTAGGTCCATTCCACACAGCTGAAGAAAGTCCCACATTTTCTACTTTGAATTGGAAAATATAGCAGTGTGGACTCAGACAATCCAGTTCAAAGCAGATATTGTGGGATTTTCTGCCTTGATATTCTGGGTCATATGGCTGTGTGGAAGGATCCTTAAATATACCTTTTTTCTAGGAGTGTGGTCTAAAGCATTTATTTATTTACTTCACTTAATTGGACTGTAATAATAAGCTTTATTGAAATCCACGTCCTTAAATGCCAAAGGAATAATGGTATGTGATATCCGAGGGGTCTTTCACACAGCCATATAACCCAGAATATCAAGGCAAAAAAATTCCCACAATATCTCAATTGAACTGGGTTGAGTCCTCACTGCGATATAATCCAGTTCAAAGCAGAAAATGGGGAATTTTCTTCAGCTGTGTGGAAGGGGCCTGAGTGATGCAGAACAATCATGCATGTTAATTCAGAAGCAAGTCTCACTGAGTACTATCTGCAGGGGAATTGCTTTAGTGTTCCCTATTAGACAAAAACAAACAAACCAGCCAGCCAGACTGGCCTTCTGCTTCTTGAGTACATAAGGAACAATAGATTATGAATAAAAACTATACTTACAAGTCCTTTTGATAAAGCAGGTTCTTCTTTTCTGCAAAAATAAATAAATATAAATAAAGAAGCCATCAGTTTCTGAAAGAAAAGAATCTAATATTTTGTTACCAGCAAGAGCTAAAGCTCTTGCAACCCTACTGTATTCTATCAGTGATATTTGTTCTAGCTCTCCCTTTCTAAACTGATGTCCAGCAAAGGTTCTCTGACTGGATCTGTTTCTCCACACTTATAGAGCAGCTTAATATATTGGGTCGTGTCATGTAATTATGAGTCGCCTTGAGTGCCCATTGGGAGAAAGATGGAGTAGAAATAAAGTAAATAAGTATGTAAGTAAGTAAATAAATAAGCTGAAGCAGTAAGTGAAAGTTTTGACCAAGCTGCCCAATATCCCACTAGGTCATGCAACTTTACTATATTTTAATCACATTTTCCATACCGCTTAAAATGTAGTGTTATAGTGGTGCCTAGCCCACTATAGTGGTGCCAAGCCCGGTTGTCCATGCTCTGGTAACATCCCGCCTAGACTACTGCAACGCTCTCTACGTGGGGTTGCCCTTGAAGACGGCCCGGAAGCTTCAATTAGTCCAACGTGTGACAGCCATGATTCTAACAGGAGCGGAGCGCAGGGAGCACACAACCCCCCTGTTGCGCCAGCTCCATTGGCTGCCGATCTGCTACCGAGCTCAATTCAAGGTGCTGGCGCTGGCCTATAAAGCCCTAAACGGTTCCGGCCCAAGATACCTATCTGACCGCATCTCGGCCTATGAACCCACCAGGACTTTGAGATCTTCCGGGGAGGCCCTGCTCTCGATCCCGCCTGCTTCTCAAGCACAGCTGGCGGGGACGAGAGATAGGGCCTTCTCGGTGGTGGCCCCTCGGCTGTGGAACGCCCTTCCTGCGGACATTAGGCAGGCACCATCTTTCATGGCATTCCGAAAAAAGTTGAAGATCTGGATGTTTGTGCAGGCGTTCGAGTAATCTAGTGCAATATTGGTAATTGAACATAGGAATGGAACAATGGCCGACGAACCTGGACTATGCTTTGATGATGAGACGATTGGGCTGGTTATTGTAATATTTGTTTAGTGTAATTGCTTGTTGTTTATTAATTGGATAATGTGTTAAGTGGTCAATTGTTATATATGCATTAAATTATTGCTGTTTTTATTGTGTGTAAACCGCTGTGAGTCGCCTTCGGGCTGAGAACAGCGGTATATAAGCAAAGTAAATAAATAAATAAAATAAATAATATAATACTATAACCACTTTAAAATAATAGGTCTAAAGAACTAATTTTGATCTCATATTCATCAGAGCTAGGCTTTTACTGTCTCAAATATGGCATTGCTTTAAAGCTAAATTTATCCTAGTGAAGGAGCCCCTGGTGGTTCAATGGGTCATTGAACTTGTGCCAGCAGGACTGCTGACCGAAAGGTCGGTGGCTCGAATCCGGGAAGCGGGGTGAGCTCCTATCTGTCAGCTCCAGCTTCTCATGTGGGGACATGAGATAAGCCTCCCACAAGATGGTAAAACATCTGGGCGTCCCCTGGGCAACATCCTTGAAGATGGCCAATTCTCTCACACCAGAAGTGACTTGCAGTTTCTCAAGTTGTTCCTGACACACATACACACACACAAGAGAATCCCGAAAGCACAAAGTTCTATTAGTTCTGCCTTTCTATATTGTTTTCAAAGAAAGTTGTTCTCTAAACTAAGCCCGGGGATACAGGTGTGATTAAAACTCAAAATAAAGATAACAAGAATGAATATAACCTTACTTGTTCAACAGAACTTTGATGTGAACCATGTTGCACTGCAGAATGTAGGATGGGCTGGAACAGAGAGTCACATATCAATATATGCAAGAGAGGGAAAGAGAGAGAAACAACAAACTAAATAAAATTCATTTCTTCATATGGTAAGCCAGAACAGACCACAAGTTAGCTTCTACGAAGATTAGTAACCCAACAAAATTCCCAGTCCAAATAATTAATTTCCATAACAAAAGGGAAGCCATTTTTTGCTATGATTTTTTCTGGGTCATTCATAAGAGATTTTTTTGTACTTCAGTAGTTAAGAGGATACTTCCCAGTCCACAACAGAAAAACCAGAAAAAGACTTACTCAAAAACTGCTGGAAAGCAATTAAGGCCAAAGCAGTTCTGAACAAATATCAAGTAAGACAAACATGCCAAAGAATCTGCATGCTGTTCATTGTCTGTTTTTGCAAATTCTTCATCATCCCAGATTTCATTTTTATAATCGTGCTGAGAGAACACTTTTGGAAACAGTTCTCTAATGTCCTGCAAAATGTCCTGTTAAAACAATAAATAAATAAATATTAGGATATTTTCATTTTTTCTATAGAACTACATGTGTGCATGTGAATGCATATACACAACATACATAGACAAGAATTTTGCCAAGTAGTTTGAAAACAGCAATGGACAAATCACCTACAGGTAACGCTGCTGATAAAGCAGCTCGGAGCAATTCATCACATGGGCTGATTTTGGACCATTAAATGTGAACTCATCTGTAGCATTTAGAGTTCTAGGTTCTCTCTACCTCAGAGACTAAATGCTGCTCTCAGCCCTTGCCTGAATCAGCACCACATTAGAGAACACTGCACATGAATCTTGATAACCAGGACAGGAAACCAATGCTTTCAACATTATTCTGAGCCTAACCATAAATCACTTTACAACCAAAGCACAGGCGGATGGGAAAAGAGAATCCTCAGGGCAACACTTACTAGTATATCAGCAGCAAATTGCCTAAAGGGATTCTCAGCTGTTTCTTCAGGCACATGATCAAGCTCTGCCACCAACAGGGGATATTTTATGCTTTTCAGGCAACTGAAAACCAAGAAGATCGAATCCATTATAGAAAAAAAATCAGGGTATGGGCTGATATGAAAAGCAAATCTAGGAGCCTTTTGATATATGAAATGCTTTGACATTATGAAGCTATTTGAATGAGGAAAACTAAGAAGAGAATTCAGAATTCAGGGACTGGTGTAATGCAACTCAAAGTGTATAATTAAAATAAAAAACATAACAAGCATCTACCCAAACCAGAAAAATATTTACTATCCAAAATAGGCACACCCTCAGATGGAAAAGAACATTGAGTGGGTAGTGAGAAAGCAAATGTAAACTGCTAAGAAAGAAATTACTGATAAGTGGGAGAAGAGGAAAATGACATCCCTTTGCCATTTTCACCTTAAAATTTGCACTGTAATATATTTATTTGCAGTAGCATTTATATTCCACCTTTCTCATCCCAAAGGGGACTCAGGGCAGATCACAGAACACATATGCAGCAAACATTCAATGCCATTCAATGCATTTTCCCAACTTCAGCGTTCTGGAGACTGTGCTCGATTCCAGCCACAAGAGAGTGCTGTCGCTCCATCCTCTAGGTTGAAGAATCCTTCATCACAGACTTCCTTCTTTCTTTGATAGCCAGCATTTTCTGGTATTTCCTTTTTATGGTGCTTAAGCGATAACTAATTTATCTACTCACAGCTGTTTTTGAATTGCTTAGGTGGAAGTGAGCTGGGCTGAAGGTTGGGTGCTCACTCTGACCCGGGCTTTGAACTGCCAACATTTCGACTGGTAAGATTTATTGCAGCTGGTGATTAACCACCAGTGCTAAAGCCTGGCCTATGTCTATAGGAGATGTGTTCCAGGACTTTGTACTGACACACAAAATCACAGGTAATATCAAATCCTATTGAATAACAACTTCTGGCAAGCGCATAACATAGAGCTATGTTCCATACAGTTGTGAATGTATCTGAGATGTCACATGATTTGAGTAGAAAATGGGGAGAGTGAAACATGCTCTTCCACCCACAACTGCTGTGGCAAGTTACCCCTTTGTAGCCTGTTCCTTTGAGCCTAATTTCAAGACCAGAGTGTACTGACAAACAAGTTGATACTTACAATGCTAGCAACTCCTCCTTCAGCTCTTTGCAACCTCTATTCGATGAGTCCTCCAAGTGTTGGACAACCTCATCTACAAAAGGTCTAACAAAACATGGTAAAGCAGTACAGCACCGGCAAAGACCATGTTCATCTTGTTCTAGTTGATGTTTTGTGTAAGGAACTGGGAGAAGTGAGAGCTGGTCCAAAATGGTCGACAACGACAAACCAACTGAATATGCTTTCTTATTGCCAAGCTTCAGAAGTACTGCGGCAAACACAAATAAGATGGCAGTAGGTTAGATACATTAATCCACAGAAGAGGTAAAAGGGTTAGAAAATTATGTGTAATAGCAAACTCTATTGAATGAACTTCTGGTGGCAGCATACTAGAGTTTCCATTGGTCCGAGGAAATGCATAGAGTAGGGGTTCTCAAACTGTGCTCCACAGCACCATGCTGCTTCCCACCACCTCCTCTTTCCTCCTCCTGAGAAATGCAAAGAAATTAAAAGTTTTGTGCTGCTAGAAACAGCAGCAGCATCCTCCCAGGGCACAGACCTCCACTCACCCGTGCTGCCCAGACCCTCCTCCCTGCTTTCTTTACAAAGGCTGGATGGTCATTTGTTGGGGAATACTTTGATTGTATTTTTCCTGCATGGCAGAAGTTGGTTGGACTGGATGCCCCCTGAGGTTTCTGCTATTATTACAGTTGCTGTTGTTATTATTATCATTACAAAGGCAGGATAATAATAATAATAATAATAATAATAATAATAATAATAATATAATAATAATAACAATAATAATAATAATAACAAGAAGAAGAAGAAGAAGAAGGAGGAGGTTGTTGTTGTTGTTGTTATTTATATCCCACCTCCTCTCCCAGAAGGGACTCAGGGCGGCTCACAGCAAGTAACAGGTAAAACAATACAAAAAAATTACATAGGTCAAATTAACATAACTTAAAAAAGAACAATTGCAATTACTGAAAACATGTAAGAACATAACATAACATCAAAAATAAAAGATGTATGGCCATCTGTTGGGGGTTTATGTTGGTTAAATATTTTGGTTTATGTTGGTTAAAATTGCTCTTCATTTTAATTATTGTTTTACTCTTTCTTTTCCTTTTCCTTTTTTTGGCTCTGTGTGAAGTAGTTCACACAAACACTCTCCATTCATCTGCCAGTGGCCCAGCCTATGCCTGATATATATACATTATAAATAATATAATATATAAACATTCTTTGACGCTCCACAATAAACTTTTGCTTCAAAAAGGGCTCCGCAGCTGACAAAGTTTGAGAACCCCTGGCCTAGAGGATCTCTGTGCAGCTCTTATGTTTATATACTGCTATCATTTCAAGCTCACATAAATGAAACTTACAGATGCTGACTGCCAACTTCAGTGACTCAGATGATATGGCAGGATCCAAACGTCATCCAGCTCTCAGTGCAACTCTTAGAATTAAGCCATACTCATAGCATGAGCCAGACTCATTACCGAGAATGCACCTTGCTAACCATAAATGAAACCTATGCCTCACCCAAACAAGCCTTCATATATTGAGTCCAGAGTAGCTGTTCTGCTCATGTTTGAGGAAGATGGAAGATTATTTTTTTCATTATAGTTTTCCCTTCTCCTTCTTAAATTGTTAGTGTGGTACTAAGGCACCAGATTCCATCTGATCTTGGAAATTAAGCACAACCAACACTGGTTGGTGAAAGGAACTGGCAAAACCACCTCACAGTATTCTTTGTCTAAGAAAACCTCTTGAAGTTCATGGGAATCACCCAAAGTCAACATGTAATTTGAAGGTAAATAAATACATACACTCTTGCACAATGCTCTGACACCCAGATAGACGTTATCTATGTTCTAAAGAAACTCTGCTCTGAATTAATGCGATTGTACAAAAGTCTTTCCTCAGCCTTTGGTTTCCTTCGGTAGGACAATAATGATGAAAGGATTTTGAGGGATCAGAACTTCCCATTCCATACGTCCTGCTTATGGCTACCTGCATGTCCTAAAAAGATACGCTGCAGTATCTGGGAATCTCTGGGACAATGTTCAATGTATCTTAAAGTCAAAATGGGAAAACAGAAGAAGTTAGAGGCTCCCCTTTGTGTGGACACCAGAACACCCTCAAAGTCAATTAAGCATCAGGAGAATGATACAAATTCTTTCTCATTTTAAGTCACTTCACAGGATTGTTGCTAAGGATAAAGGTGTATGTGCGAGAGGGCAAAATCCGTATTTCCTACTCTGAACAAATAAACGGTAGAAAGGACACCTCAACAAAGAGATGTCCTGTGCAAAACGTAAGAATTCTTCAACACATTTAACCCACCTTTGTCTGACTTACATGGTACCATGTAATCACAGGTAAAAAAAGAGATCAATTCCATAACATCTTCTGTGGCCATTTATCCAATATCATCATTCATACTGTTTTGCTTTAGCATACAGAAAACAAAACACATATTACCTTCATGCAGGGGGTCAAGCAATATCAAGATAGTTTGGGACACATTTTCCCGAGAAGCTTGTTCAATCTGCTCCAGAAAACCCAGCACAAGTTCTTTGGGACTGCAAAGCTGCAAGAAAGCGGGGGAGGGGGGCATGCAAAGTCACTTGTGTTGCTTATTTTTATAGTCTATCTTAAATGCCTCCACATTTATAACGACAAACATATATGTTTTATATTATAATTATTGCTATTGTTTTTAATCTACTGCTTGTCTAATTAGGATTACTATTGTATTCAATTAAGATATTTTTATTTGATTCCATCAAAACAAATAAAAAGAGTCTTAATGGTTATACTAGCTTTTGGATGGCACCCAAAATTCCAACAGCAGAGCTTGTTTTGCATTTCGTGAATATATGAAAACGTTGCTAGTGAAAAATATATATACATGATTTGACCGCTTAAATAAGCGACAACATTCATATGGCTGTGACGTTTCAGAATAGCAGAGATGAAGACGTTTCCAAAACCCTGTTGGCCCACTGCCAAACTTTTTGATTCATTCAAAAACACACATTTACAACTAAAAACCCTGCACTATGCTTGAAAACAGTCATGAAGTACCAACTCTGATTTTAAAGTTTTATTTCTACCAACAGGAGATGTTCAGGGTAAGGCTTGTTGGGTGAGTGGGCTTATTAACAAAAGACCCTCCTCATAAATGTACAGCAGAGTAACTTATTAGCAGCAGCGTAACCCAGCACCAGTAGCTAAAAGCAATAAAAAGAACAAAACACGTATGTTATATCTTCCATAGAAGGCTTTTCTTTATGGTAAAATAGTATGGTTGTACTATTTACAAAAATAAGGTTTCCATGACACGAACAAAGTTCTTTATACTTCCTTCTTTGCTTCCATGCTGGGCTTCTTTCTCATGAAGATAAACAGTTTCGCTCTCACAGAGCCTCCTCTCACAACAAACTTACATAGGACCTTCATACTAGTTTTTACACACAGCAATCTTCACACTGAAGCTTCACATACAATGGCCTTCAACCTGGGGCTTTTTTTCACCAAAGCTTCTCACATCAGGCCTACTCACACTGAGGCCTACCTTACGCTGAGGCCTTTCTCCCACTGAGGCAAATTAATACTGTGGCCTCCTCATACTGAGGCCTACTAACACACTGAGGCCCATCTCCCAGAGACCTCTCACAGACTGAGGGCTACCTCAGACTAAGGCCTTTCTCCCGCTGAGGCCTCTCATAGACTGAGGGCTACTAAGCTACAGGCGCACCTGCTTATACTGAACTGAAGCTTTTGCTGCATCATTGTATCATGATTTTTTTTTGGCAAAAATTCCAAGAATGTCTAATTTTTATATAATGATCAAAGAGAATAATGAAAGAGTAAATACAAGAAGTGCCCTAAGATACCTAAGCGGACAGACCCAGGGACATACCTGTATTAACCTTTCTAGCATTGTCAGGCATTGTTTTCTCTCAATTTCATCTTGCTTGTGCTTTAGTATGCATCTGATCAAAGGTCCAATCAGATTCCAGCCCATGCTTTTAACAATTACCTGTAGGAAGAAAATTATATTTTAAAAATACCAGTTTTTCTAGATACTAAAACTATCCAGGCATTAAACTTACATGCAATAAAACAGCATTGAAGTCTACATTCAAATTGTCCCAATACCAATGCCTAGAGATATATTTTAAAATATATCTGAAGAACCAAAGCTACTGTTAAATTTATAGAAATCGAACACATAACTGGCCTAATATGTAATAAGTCTGCATTACATCTGATTAGATACAGTATGTGTGTGTGTATGTGTTACATAACAGAACGCTCCCTTATACAGTAGGCCCACTTATTACATGAGCTCATTAAATGTGTTTTGTTATAGGCAAACTACTCTAAATAACACAGAATTGTACAGAAAAACCTAGCTGTGCCTAGAGACGTGTTCTCCCAAGGACTTCAGAATGACTCTATGTCCAAACTCCACCAGAAGTTGATCACAGACTTCTGATGGAGTCCTAGACAGAATGCTTCAGGTATTGTGAGGTCCTTCTGGGTGATTCTCTGGTGTGCTTTGGCCAGAAACTCAAGACATGGTTTATTTCTTGTAATAACTAGATTATATGCAAAAAAAACCAAAACAAAAAAACAAAAAACCCCCACATTATACAAAGGGTTCTAGAATGGAGCCTTCACCTAATATATGGACCTACTACAAATAAAAAATCAATTCTCATGGAAAACTGGTACTACACTGAAATTACAGGCTCAAGAAGTATTTGAAGTGAAGAAATTGATATAATATGAGCAGCATTCAATCACCCTCCACTTGCAATCTGAAGAGATACTTGAGTAGGGATTAAGTTTCCAACTTCAATAGCCAGTGCACTTCTAAACTAACATTATTGAACATTCAGGCTCCAACTGCAGGTGGGAATCATGCTCTATGTGTTGTTGAACTGCAACTCTCAGCACTCCTCCTCACTGGCTATGTTGGCTAGGGTTGTTGGGGTTTGACTGTGCTTTTCCTGCATGGCAGGGGGTTGGGCTAGATGGCCCATGTGGTCTCTTCCAATTCTATGATTCTCACACTTAGGACTAACTACATTATCATGGAATATTCTGAACGCTTTTGGGTTCTTGGGAACTTTTCAGGAGACCTGGTGGTACAAAGGAGCAGAGGGTGAAAAATTATCTAAAAATAAGTAAAAAGGCAGATTATTATTTAGGTTGTCTGCCTTTTTAAAAGGCAGATTATTATTTAGGTTATGGAGCCCCTGTGGCACAGTGGGTTAAACCCCTGTGCCGGCAGGACTGAAGACCGACAGGTCGCAGGTTCGAATCTGGGGAGGGATGAGCTCCCTTCTCTCAGCTCCAGCTCCTCATGCGGGGACATGAGAGAAGCCTCCCACAAGGATGATAAAACATCAAAACATCCGGGCGTCCCCTGGGCAACGTCCTTGCAGACGGCCAATTCTCCCACACCGGAAGCAAATTGCAGTTTCTGACACAACAAAAAATAATAATATGTAGGTTGTCTCTTGCTCTGTAATAAAACACTAGCCTTTTGTTTTCAGCGTACTGTTCCATTATCTGGGTGGAGGCCACTAGACGGCACTGAAGATAAGCTAGCCCATGTTATAGGTGGGGTGGGTTGAAGGAGTAAAAACATTTCCCCATTTTCTTGTTATCCCCCCCCCCCCAATCCATGTCCCCATTATGGAAGCAGCCTTTGTTCATGAAGTGGGGAGGGGGAATAATAAGAAATTGTTTTCCTCCCCCAAATGGACTATCCTTCTCTCTCTGGCTCCCCCTGGTGGCTTTCGCCTGGATATTTGAACAGTAGTTTTTAGTAAGGAGGACCAGCTATTTTCTCTTCTAAGCATCCTAAGTGTCCATCTGGGATTCACCTAAGTGAAATGAACTCAATAACTGCATTTTTGTTCCAAAGCCTTAGATGATGCACAGCATTTATAGTGATTGATTCAGACTTAGCTATATGTGCTTACCTTAGAGAAATGTGCTTATCCGAGATAAAATACATATAACTGTTTACTTCCAGAAAAACTAAACATTACTTATCTAAGAAGAAATCTCATTAAATTTAATAGGGATTTTTCTATCCCTTCCTTCCATCCACCTGGCCTACAAAAGACTTCTAGAAAATTCCAAATTTTGCATATTTTTTCAATCTATGGTGGATGTTAATATAGACCCAATCCATTTTTTACAGCTAAACGTCTTACAGTTATTGTTTTTCTACTGGATGTTTCAAGTATGTTTATAAACGCACACAAGAAAAAGAAGAAACTAAAAAAGAGAGGCAGAGAATATAGAATATGTGATAGACAAAAACAAAGGTAAGTTCATCAATTTTTTAAAGAACTCATTTAAATAACTGTATAAAATACACTTTCATAGTAGATAAAAGATCTAATCATTTGACAATAAATGGAGAATGATTATCTTTTCAGTCTTGAAGTATAACTCTTTGGAAATAAGCAAGGTGGATTAGGTGGATTTGCACATAAGAAAATACTGTAGATGAAAATTTATTTTTTCTTCAGCTGAAAAATACTAACATGAAGACAAAATAGTCAAGGATTTATAGTATTACCTATATGTTACCCAATTCCTTAAAACTAATACAGCAGAAATGTCTTGTGACATGATTAGATTTGAAATGAGCGCAAAAGGGATTGTGTGTGCAGCTATGTTGCCAACAAACCTGTGAAGAAGAATGTGAACAGGGCCCTCAGAGCAAAAACAATTGTGTAGATGGCAAGAATGTGAACAACTGCCTCCAGTTCCTTCTGGCTTTCATACCCAAGGTTGAAAAGACAAAACACAGTTGGCGCAGCTGGCTGGGAGTCAGCTGCATTAAGATCACTACTGATCAAAAAGGTCATGAGTTCGAAGCCCGCCTGGGTCGGAGTGAGCTTCTGACCAATTTATGTAGCTTGCTGTCGACCGTTGCAGCCGGAAAGACAGTTGCATCTGTCAAGTAGGAAATTTAGGTACCGCTTATGCAGGGAGGCTAATTTACGATGCCATAAAAATCTCCAGCAAGCATGCAAAGAATGAGGAAGTACTTAATCAGTGTCACAGATGGACAGTGAAGTGCTAGCTCCCCTGGTGGCCAGAATACCCTCATGAAAAAGCTGGAATATTAAATAGCCTCTGCATGTCTGTCTATATATGCTGTGTGTCTATGGCATTGAATGTTTGCCATGTATATGTACATTGTAATCCGCCCTGAGTCTCCTGCTGGGTGAGAAGGGCGGAATATAAACACTGTATGTAAATAAATAAATAAATAAATAAATAAATGTTAACTCACCGCATTTTTCTCATTTTGGACAACTTCCAGTACTTCAGATATATACCCTTCTTCCAAGCACTTCTGCCCTGCAACTTGGAAGAGATTAAAGTCTTCCCCTTTGAAATCTGCTTCATCTAAAATTTGCTATGAAAAACAAATGTTTTATCACAATTTAGAAGTGTACATGAACATCTTATAAAAAATAATGGGAATTTTATATTAATATGCTCTGTAAAGCTGTGGCAGCAGTTCCAGAAGCTTGCCTCTTGGATTTCCTTGTCCTTTTAGAATGCAATAATGGCTACCAATGTCATGAAATGACAGGACTGATTAGTAAAGACAAGATTGCTCAGTAAAGTGAGGTGAAATAGGAAATGGGGGAATACCACTCTACAAGTTGATAGATTCAATCAAGAAGGTCTTGAGTTTCCAGGAACTGGACAAAGATGTTGATGTCAGAGAATCTTAGAGGTTTCCTATTCGTAGGTTTGACATCAGTCGAAGTCAATTTCATAGCAAACAATAGGAACAACACTGACTATTGATAAACTTTTAAATATTCTTACTTTTCATGGCAAATGGCAAGTGATATTAACAGCCGCAAATAAACACAACTGAGATGGAAGTTCAGATTTTATTTACTGTGTTGACACCTCTAAAGACTCCTACAACAGCATCTTCTATAACTCTCTCCTATACAATAAGAAGCATTTACATTGCTGCTAGGTTACAATTTTTTATTGGAAAGGCATGACCTTTTATAGACCATAACTTTTTGGAAAACCAGGAATCTCCTTAGCCTTTTGGAAGCATGACCCTTTTGGTGATTAATTGGCATTCACACTCTTTGGAATAATCATAACCTTTTCATAAGTGTTAAATACTCATTTGAGTGCATCTTCTCCTAAGTGGTAAATATCCACTACTATTCGTGCAAGGCAAATTAGGCTTCTCAGTTGTTAGACTGATATACCTGGTTATCTCTCTGAACATTTAGGAACAAAGATATGCCAATGCACAAAATATATAGCAGATCTTCAGAAATGTTATTTCAGTGGCCCAAAAAACATCTACTCTCCCAAAAAAAATGTTGCTTTTACATCATGCTCTCAAGAGACCAAAAATAAGTAGTCTTCATTAAAAGTAACATAGCTGATTTACTTACAAACTTCATGTATTCAGCATACAGGTACATTTCTTATTGCTTGGTAGTTTAAACAGTAAGTTCTCTAAAGCATTCTGTTTCAATCTTTTCTTTGCTGCATATAGACTCACTCTCTTCAATCTAATACATTACTGAACATTGACTCAATACAGACTGACTATACACTGCAGCATACTGACACTGTCTGCACTAACACTGACAATTGCATACTGTACTATCTTCAAAACACTACTGCTTCTGATGCAAACATGACTTCTAAAATGGAGTCTCAGTCTGAATAGTCCCAGATCTGCTCAACCTCAAACAACATAAGTGTTAAGGGAAAACTGCATATCAATATAGTAAACAATCACAATTATATACATAACAAATAACTAGTATAGAAGGATTGTAGAAGGTTGCAATTTCCAATTTAACGTGTTACTTACACATCTTTGTATGATGGCTCGAAGTTCTTCTTCTGCCATTTTTTGTTGATTCGCAAGAGCCCTGTTACAATTTTTTAAAATAGACTTGAATGAGATACACTTTAAATATATTGCAAAACTGGCAGAACCGTTTTTTAAATCATTAAGATATTTTATAAGAACAAAGCATGAAAAGGGTATTTAGTAAAGTCTGGAATCAATCAGGTCAAGTAACTGCCACCCTTTGAATTATTTTGGACTTCACCTCCCACCAACCCTAACAGCACAGCTAATGGTGAAGGATGCTTGAAGCCTCACTCAGTTGTATCTTGAAGATTACACTTCACTCTACAAGAGATGGTGAGAAGGAAACCTCTTAAAATCAAATTTGAAATCTTCCAGTCCATGGCCTTATACACTACACAATGTATATCTGTACTATGAAATATATTGTGAAGAATTTCTTAGAACAGGAATTAGATCGTTTTAATAACAGATTATATTATCTGTGCCAAAAAATTTAGATACAAAAAGGGGACTGCTTTTCAAAAAACTTAAATGACAAAGTATTATTGAATTTTAATACATCAGAAAGTGGGACTCAACAAGATACTCTAAACGTGTTGCATTGCCATTTACAAGAATGTTTTAAAGGGCAACCCTAGTTTAATGAGAATTAAAAAGGACACCTTCTGATTAAGTATAGTTAAGAGCTTTACAGCTGGCCATTAAGCATATTATAGGAAGCAGTTCTGCTGAGGGGCAATAAAGTCCTCTGAAATACTCTGACTTTTAAAAGCCAGGATGTATACATAAACTTTCTATTAATTTATCCTTTTTTAATTTTAATTTTATTTTAGGACATACAAATACACAACATTTACAATTCCCACCACCACCATGAGGATTATTTTCTTTTACATATTAATCCTTTTGGGGATTTTTTTTATTTACTTATTCTTATCCCATTCAAGAAAGAAGTAAAGTTACAGCCAAGTATGAGCAGGCAAAGAGGAAGCGAAGCAAAGAGCACACTTTAGTATCTGGAAGCTATCTGCTTTGTGGGGCCAGAGAAAGTCTCTAGCAAGTGGTCTTTAATGTGCAAAACAGGGGAAAGAGAGGTGAACAGGACATTAAAAGAATCTGGAATCACCTGTAAGATACATTTCTAGTTTATAACTTTCTTTTTTGTGTAGATATTGACCCACAAAAACAGATGCTAAAATAAAAACTAATCTTAAAAAGTGTGGCTAGATTTCCCCCAACCCTTTCCCTTGCTTTTCTTCTTGTTATGCTACAACAGGCTAACATGGCTCCTTCTTTAAAAATTATTTTAATTGTCAATTAACAATATCATACGAAAGCTGACTGGCACAACCTGGGGATCACAACCAGATACAGTGAAGACATCTGCCCTTGGGCTATGCTACTCTGCTGCTGAGTATGCATGCCCAGTGTGGAACACATCTCACCACGCTAAAACAGTGGATGTGGCTCTTAATGAGACATGCCGCATTATCACAGGGTGTCTGCGCCCTACACCACTGGAAAAATTACACTGTCTAGCCGGTATCGCACCACCTGACATCCGCCGGGAAGTAGCAACCAATAGTGAAAGGACCAATCCTTTGTTTGGGTATCAGTCAGCATGTCAACGACTTAAATCAAGAAATAGTTTTCTAAGATCTACAGAGACACTCGCTGGAACATCCCAGCAAGCGAGAGTCCAAAAGTGGCAGGCTCAAACCCAGAACCTCAATCAATGGCTGATACCAAATGAGAGACTCCCCCCTGGGCACACAGAAAACTGGGCAACATGGAAAGCATTGAACAGACTGCGCTCTGGCACCACGAGATGCAGAGCCAACCTTAAGAAATGGGGCTACAAAGTGGAATCCACGGCATGCGAGTGTGGAGAAGAGCAAACCACTGACCACCTGCTGCAATGCAACCTGAGCCCCGCCACAAGCACAATGGAGGACCTCCTTGCGGTAACACCAGAGGCACTCCAAATGGCCAGATACTGGTCAAAGGACATTTAATCAACTACCAAGCTTGTGTGTTTTGTCTGTTTGTTTTGTTAAAAATGTAATACAAATGTCTGGTTGCTCCTGACACAATAAATAGCATTTTAATTGTTTCCTTAAAGGAAGACCATTTATGTAGCTAGAAGGAGAATGAAAAAGTGTTCAAATCTACCAGAGACCATACAACATTGGTCCTCAACCTGTGGGTCCTCAGGTGTTTTGGCGTACAACTCCCAGAAATCCCAGTTTACCAGCTGTTAGGAGGCAAAAACATCTGGGACCCACAGGTTGAGAACCACTGCCATACAACATAGATAAAAAGTACTCTGCACATGCTCAAGGGCAATTACTCTTTAACTATAAAAAGTATACACCCTTAACAGCTTATAACAGAGGGGGAGGGTGCATTAAAATGTGTACAGTCCCCAAGTTACAAACAAGATAGGTTCTGCAGGTTTGTTCTTAAGTTGAATTTGTATGTAAGTCAGAACAGGTACATTTTATTAAGTGCAACTCCAGAGATATATATATCTATCTACCTATCTTTGGTCAGCATAGGGAAAGTTTGACACCCCCATGGTGTTTCTTTTGCTGTCTGTTCCCCTGTTCAGAAGATTTCACAGCACTTTCTGTCCCTGTGAGAATTGGATTGTGAAAAATATGACTTTTTGTGGAAACAAGGACTGGTGATAAAGCTTCAGGGGAGACACGTTTTCCCCATGCTAACTCTTCCAGGAGTGAATTTCCCTTCCTAGGAGTAGATTTCTCTCACTTCCTGTTGTCTCACCCCCATTCTTAACTAGGAGTCGTCTATAAGTCAGATGTTTGTAACTCAGGGACTGCCTGTACATCCTTAACAAGATCAAAGATTCCAATGTGGTGCACAATTAGTAGTGAAACCTCAAATGAAATGTGCAACTCTATGCTTTGACCATGGGGTCATTGCATGGCTGCGCTCGCACATGAATTTGAACTCCTTCTATGGTTTCAGCATTGGAGTATGACTCTGAGACCGGGGTTCGTATTCCCACTCAGCCATAGAAACCCTCTGGGTAACCTTGGGCAAGTCATGCTCTCTCAGCCTCAGAAGACCAAGGCAAATAACTTCTGAACAAACCTTCCCGTACAAACCCAGTGAATGGTTCTCCATAGGTCTGAAACGAATTGGGAGGCACACAAGGAACAAGTAAACGTACTCTAAAATGGAATCTATAACTTTAGCTAATTAGTATAACATTTCATCTTCAATATAAACATATATATTTAACATCCAAATAATCTCCATAAAGGTAAAGGTTTCCGTTATAGTCTATAATCTCCATAGCTATTATTAGCTGTTAAAAGTGTGTACATTGGGGGGGGGGGGCACTATACATCCCAGGTGCTTCTACACTATAGAATTAATGCAGTTTGATACCTCTGTAACTGCCCTGGCTCAATGCTATAGAAACCTGGGAGTTGTAGTTTCACAAGGCCTTTAGCCTTCCCTGCAAAAATGAATCCTATGAGTTGTAGTTTCATGAGGCCTTCAGCCTTCCCTGCCAAAGGAATCCTGGGAGTTGTAGTTTCACAAGGCTTTTAGCCTTCCCTGCTAAATGAATCCTGAGAGTTGTAGTTTCACAAAGCCTTTGGCCTTCCCTGCTAAATGAATCCTGGGAGTTATAGTTTCACAAGGCCTTTAGCCTTCCCTGCCAAAGGAATCCTATGAGTTATAGTTTCACAAGGCCTTTGGCCTTCCCTGCTAAATGAATCCTATGAGTTATAGTTTCACAAGGCCTTTAGCCTTCCCTGCCAAAGGAATCCTAGGAGTTATAGTTGCACAAGGCCTTTGGCTTTCCCTGCTAAATGAATCCTGGGAGTTATAGTTTCACAAGGCCTTTGGCCGTCCCTGCCAAATGAATCCTAGGAGTTGTAGTTTCACAAGGCCTTTAGCATTCCCTGCCAAAGAAATCCTGGGAATTGTAGTTTCACAAGGCCTTGGGCCTTTCCTGACAATGGAATCCTGAGAGTTGTAGTTTCACAGGGTCTTTAGCCTTCCCTCCAAACTACAACTCCCAGGCTCCCATAGCATTTCAGAGAAGGGAGATTCCCCTTGTACCAGCCCTGGAAGTGAAAAAGGGCTACAACTCCTTTCCAGGCTTCACTTGGGAGCCCCTCTGAACCCTAGAAACGAAAGACAAAGAGTGAATCCCTCCTAAACTACTATGCCTTAGACCTGGGCTGTCCCTCCTCCCTGGCCCCCTCCCGCCTTTGACCCCAACTTGCACCAAGACTCCCTCCTCTTACCTCCGCCTTCCCTCTTTCCAAAGAGACCGGTCTACCAGCACGGCCTCATGACTATTCTCAGGCCACGCCCCTTTGGGAGAAGCCACGCCCCTTCCCCAAACAACGCAGGCGCAGTGAGGGGTTAGAGGTCTTTCCCGGCAGCGATGGCGGAAGAGAGGACCCGCAGCGGCTCCAAGGCCAGGAGGCAGCGCCGGCGCCCGGGTAAACGCAGCTGTTTGTATCTATCCCCCCCCCCCTTTTCATCCCATGGACTGTTCCTTCTCCCTTCCTCAATATGTGGAGGCGAAACCAATCCTATCTTCCAAGGGGGTGGCTTTCTAGGGATGGGAGATGCTCTATAGCTGTGATTATTCCTATACTACTGTAGGAATAATATAGTTGAACTGCCAGGGCTCAGTGCTATTGAATCGTGGGAGTTGTAGTTTTATAAGGGCAAGTTTCTCCCTAAGCAAACAGCGGGTTCCCACTCTGTTCCTATGAAAGATTGGATTGATCATGTGGTTTCATGTGGTTTTTCATCTCCTCTTAGGTAATAAACAACCCAGTGTCCTGACAAATGAAGATGCTGCACAAAGGTATCCTGTCTCTATATAGTATCTCAGAATAGCTGGTTGCATTATGTGTTTGTATTTATGTTGTAAATCCTTCAAAAGGTTTATGAATCAACTAGCCGTCCCCTGCCACGCATTGCTGTGGCCAAATCTGTGTATATGTGTTTTGTGTGTGTGTATTTGTGTATATATATATATGTGTGTGTGTGTGTGTGTGGTTTTTCGCATGCATTGTAATGTATTTCTTTTTATTTGTGGGCTTTTAGATGTTTCTCATGACTTTCTGATATTCCCTTCTCCTTGAGACACATATTCTGCCTTGTTCGTCTAACCTATTAAAGACTGGCAGGTCTTTAGTCCAGCTGGCACAGTTTGAAATGAAAAGTGGGTGCCATTGTGTTCTTTGCTTCAGGCATCAAATGTTTTGTGCTGGATCTGTTTGTACTCACTTGTTTCTTAAGCAACTTCATATGAATTGCCAAAATGTGGGTCACACCACTATTTTTTTCCCCTTGTAGGAAAGCAGCACTTGAAGCTGCTATTCGAAAGAAGATTGCGCATGAGCGAAAAGCCTTGAAGGTGGTTGAACGCCTCTTAGAAGACGATATCACTGAAGAATTCCTCACAAATTGTGTATGTCGTCTTGTTGCAGATTTATATAAAATATTTAGTTTAAATGTGTCAAGGTCTCCTATAGCTTGTCATGCAGTTAATGGTTCCTTTCCAAAGATAGTTTATCAATCTTTGGAGAGGCACCATAGATGTGTGTTAGCTTGGCAGTCTATGGCCCCTTCTACACTGCCATATAAAATCCAGATTATCTGATTTGAACTGGATTATCTGGCAGTGTAGATTCATGTAATCCAGTTCAAAGCAGATAATGTGAATTATCTGGGAATCATATAACCCTCTCAATCACTGCTTCTTAAACTGGGGTCTCCAAACTAGGTCCCCATAGCTCAGTGTGGGGGTCCTGAAAAAATTGGCAAATGTAAACATTTTCTGAATGTCACCTAGTTGCTGTTTTAGACATGTACATGAATCTGTTGTGCAACATTTACAGCAGACTCTGCAAAAGGAAATGTTTGATTTTTATACCAGTTTTATCTACCTATATACCCAGGGCTATGTAAAAATGTATTGGGCCAAAAGGTGTCACAAGTGGAAAAGTTTAAGAAGTCCTCTTCTCAATGACCTTGGGCTGCTGTTGTCAGCATTTTCCACTATTGTCTAGGCTAGTTCGTGCTTCTAAAAGTTTAATTCACAGCATTTGGAGGACTGCAAGGTTTCCCATTTCCTATAGGACATATTCCAAAGGGAGACTCAGTGTGAGGTAGAGGCTTGAGCATTGACTAAAAAAACTGTAGTCCAAGGTTTGTAAATTAGAGATGTGTGAAACAGGAGAAATCTGTTCTGTTTTTGTTTCCAATTTTGAGTCCGTCCACCCATTCTGTTTTCATGAAGATTCTTCCCAAAACAAATGGAACTTGTTTTGTCGAACCCAAATGACTCCCCTCCTAATCTTCCTGAAATCTTCCTGAAAATAAAATGGGAGGGGGGCACCTGAAAACAGAACTGATTTCTACTGTTTTACACACTGCTTCTTTGTATCCCTACTCAGCCATGAAAACCCACATTTCAAGGCAAATCTGTTTATTTCTTTTCAGGGGAAGTTCATTACACCTTCTCACTATAAAGATGTTGTGGAAGAGCGGTTTATCGTCAAACTGTGTGGCTACCCCATCTGTCGAAATAGGCTGCAGAATGTAAGAGTCTGTGAGTGGTGTATGTGTTGGTTCTTTTTCTGTAATTTTTTGAAATTTAAAATGCATTTCTTCCTGAAAATTATCCAGTACTTGCTTTTTTCGCCCATTTTCATTATTTTCCTGTGTTACAAATTCAAAACTGATTTAAAATGTCTACAGGGTTGCTTTGTGAGTAAGGATGTGAGCCTGGATATCCGCAGTTTTGAATCTGATAGTATATGCCAGTGGTTCTCAACCTGTGGGTCCTCAGATGTTTTGGCCTACAACTCCCAGTAATCCCAGCCAGTTTACCAGCTGTTAGGATTTCTGGAAGTTGAAAGCCAAAACATCTGGGAACCCACAGGTTGAGAACCACTGGTATATGCTATACTATATTGGCCTCCGGCATGGGTTAAAACTATGTAGTGTTCTTGCCACCTCTTTGTCCTGCCTCTGCTTTCATCCAATGTGATCAAGGAGAGAAAATCAAGCTCTGCATAATTTAGTTCTCTCTCTAACCTGGAAAAATTGTGTTAAATCTTAACTGTGGTTTACTGAAATTAGCAAACATCAGATTTAGGATTGAGAAGATTGTTTCAACAAATCATTGCTCAGATTAAACATTGTAGGTTTTGTGCACTATGGCAAACTTTAGAAAATGAGATTAAGCTTTCCTTTCTCCTTGCAGCCAAGCTAGGAGGAGAGGGAGAGTTTGGCACCAAAGAAGCCAATATTCTGGCACATAATAATTAACAGTAATATATTGTTACAGGCATACTGGTCCATCGGCTCTCTTCGTACATAATAACACACTGTAATGTTTTGCTACATGTTTACTGGTCCATTGGCTCTCCTTATCCATAATAATACACTGTAATGTATTGTTTCTTGCAGACTGGCCCTTTGGCTCATTTCACAAGAGCAAAAGGGGTGATTCAATTTTAGTTGATGCAACTTAGGAGGATTCCTTAGAAAGGGCTGTCATATCTTGTAAAAAAGGCAATCAGGAAGGCAATGGAGAAAGGTACAAGGGAGAGGGCCTTCTCAGTAGTGGCTCCCCGGCTCTAAAGCTCCCCCCTCCCCAGGACCCCCACATTTTATTGGGATCTTAGACAAGCCCCTACACTTCAGCACTTTAGGAAAGAGTTAAAAACTTGTTTTTCCAGTAGGCATTTGATAATTTTTAGACAGTAATCAGAACTGATTGCCAGTCACTTAGCACTTTATATCTTCATTCTGTGCATTCAGCTGGGCTGCTATATTGATTACATGGATATTTTAACTGATTCTATTTTAATAGAGCTTGTTTTATCCAATTTATATACTTGCTTTATGTAATCTATTATTGTTTTCATGTTGATGTATTTTATTTTAATGCATTTTGAATTTCGTGTATGGCATCTTTATGTGCTGTTTTGTAAGCTGCACCGAGTCCTTATGGGAGATGGTGGCAGGTTATAAATAAAGTATTATTATTGTTGTTATTGTATTATTATATCTGTCTGAAGAGATGTAAACCTAGAAAAATGCTATTTTAACTATAGGCTAAGGTCTTGGGGGTTAAAATTGTGTCCCCTCAAAATACAAATATCTTCACAATGTAAATCAAAATTCCCAGGCCTCTTATCAGCTTGAGATATGTGGTTAAAGATAATGTTGTGGCATAATAAGCAATGCCAACTTGGGATTTTTAAAATTAAAGCTTCAGGTGGCATTAACAAATTTGCCAAACTGTGTTTGTCTTTGTTTCTTTTAAGGTGCCAAAGCAAAAGTACAAAATTTCGACAAAAACAAACAAAGTTTATGATATTACTGAAAGAAAGGTATGTTTAAACATTATTCCTATGGTTGTCACTTGATATTATTGCACTGTTACAAGACATTGGCTCTGGATTTCAAAAGATTCTGGGGATGAAATGGCAGACATGTGTATGGTCTCTGTGGCCCTATCTAGACTGACCATTTAGCTTCAAGCCGCAGCAGCCAGACAAGATCCCGCAAAAGTGTGCAAAAGAAAGCCCTTAGTGCACTGTAGTTTGTGGAATTGCCATCCAGACTCCTCCTTGCGTCTGGAACCCTGGTAAATTATCATTAATCAAGGTCTCCAGTGACATCCACAGCCCATAGAGAAACTACATTTCCTAGCATTCCAAATACATACTGAAATGGACAAAAGGAAGAGAGAAATTAGAACCAGTCTTCACTTCCTTGTGGCTACAGCAGCCATTATGGAGTTACAAGATGGAAAAGAGAGGCACAGTGCCCATCAAATATGTTTGGAAGCCTGCAAGAGGTCATGTATCTGTGTGAAAACCAACAACATCCAGGAAAAATATTTTCCTACAGGTTGTTTCATTTGGCTCATATTTACTGTGCATACTGAGCCTAGGATAATTTGCTTATTTCTACAAAAAAAAAGCTTTTTCCATTCCTCTTGTTATGATTAGTGGATTTCTGTGTTCAGAAACTGGTCTTTCATTCTTTACAAATTAATATCTAATGTATTATTTGTTTCATTACAAAAAAAACAAAACTTTGGCTCCTTCCACATAGCTGAATAAAATCCCACCTTTTCTGCTTTGAACTGGAATATATGGCAGTATGGACTCAAATAACCCAGTTCAAAACAGATATTGTGGGATTTTCTGTTTTGATATTCTGGGTTATATGGCTGTGTAGAAGGGCCCTGGGATGATTGATTTTAGCTCACACCATGTTTGTATCTATTTTGTTAAAATGAGGACATAACACTTGCAATTTTTTTGTGCGGCAGTGTTTTTGCAGCAACTTCTGTTACAAAGCATCAAAATACTTTGAAGGTCAAATTTCCCAAAGTCCAGTGTGGCTGCGAGATGAAGAAAGGTAATTAAATATTTATGTAATAAAACAAGTGATCCTTAAAACTCTTTCTTTCCTGTTCACAGTGGAAGGAAAAAAGCAATGTACATATGTACTGGGAAATAAAATGTTTTGAGGGTCGTTTCCAAGGCCATAAAAAGACCTTATTTTAAGGTTTTTGTTTTTGGCTTTTTTTGTGTGTGTTTTGGCTATAGTTGGTACCCATGCTGAAATTCTGGAAATTATAGTCCCAAAAAACTTTTCCAATTTCTGGTTTCAGGTGATACTCTTTGACAAAGGCTGAAGTGTTGTTTTTCAGTTGTGATGGTATTTGTATTTAATTTGATGCCCTAGACTTGCTCAAATTCAAAATGGTGAAGACTTCCTATTTCTTAATATCTAATGTATTATTTGTTTCATTACAAAAAAAACTTTGGCTCCTTCCACATAGCTGAATAAAATCCCACCTTTTCTGCTTTGAACTGGAATATATGGCAGTGTGGACTCAAATAACCCAGTTCAAAACAGATATTGTGGGATTTTCTGTTTTGATATTCTGGGTTATATGGCTGTGTAGAAGGGCCATATACATGATCCAGTAAAAAAGCAACACATGAAGTTGCTTTTTTACTGGATCAGGGTGTCCTGTGTTGCTAGTAAAAATGGGCAGCAATTGAAAATGAAAAATGCCAGTCTATTGACCTTGAATCTTCTGAATATGATACACCTGCTCTCTCAAAAAACTGCAGCCCTAATCAAGATTAACTCTTAAATCCTTCTGAACATATACTGCCTTCTTTTGGGAAGAACCTATTTTACAGCTGTTTGAACGTTTCAGTCTCTTTGGAAGAAAAGAAGCTGTCCTACTAAGTTTGGTGGTAGAAGGGTTCATTTCCCCATGCTTTAGTCTGCCTGTATCAGTTGAAGATTACATGGCATTTAAAAATGGTGTACAGATAACTCTGGTGAGGAAATTATAGTAAAGTGTAATATTTTGGAAAGACGCGTAGGGTTACAGGAAAAAATTAGTTCTACAGTAGTGATACAGCCAACAATGGCATTATTAGTTAGATAGTGGTGAGCTACTGTGGCTCTTGCAAGGAATGTCCAAATACAAGAAAGCCAGTGTAGAGCAGTAGTTAATATGTGGGGTCTGGACAATGAAAATCCAGGTTCAAGGTCTCACCAAGACATGACATTAACTGGATGACCTTCAGCCACACAAACACAATTCTGTCTGAGGGCCCTTCCACACAGCCATATAACACAGATATCACAGCAGATAATCCACAATATATGTTTTGAAATGGGTTATCTGAGTCCATGCTGCCATAAAACCCAGATAATGTGGAATTTTATATAGCCATGTGGAAGGGGCATGATCTAAGTGATTTTGAGGGTAAAATGAGAAGCACAGCAGTGTGCTCCCCCTTTATTTCACTGGAAGAAAAGTGGGATGTAACCAGTAAATAATGAAACTACAAGAAAGGAGATTCCATCTGAACATTAGGAAGAACTTCCTGACTGTGAGAGCTGTTCAGCAGTGGAACTCTCTGCCCCGGAATGTGGTGGAGGCTCCTTCTATGGAGGCTTTTAAACAGAGGCTGGATGGCCATCTCTCGGGGGTGCTTTGAATTGAATTTTCCCGCTTCTTGGCAGGGGGTTGGACTGGATGGCCCACAAGGTCACTTCCAACTCCATGATTCTATGAATGTAATTTAGACCCCCCTCTACACTATCCGTATATCCCAGGATCTGATTCCAGGTTATCTGTTTTGAACTGGATTATATAAGTCTCCACTTGGATAAACATATAATCTGACATCAGATCCTGGGATACACGGCAATAAGTGTACTCCATCAACTTGTCAGCTCTGCCATTATGGTTTCTCTGACTGTCCTGTTCAGCCTGGTGGGGTATCTGAGGTTCATTTCAGGTTTTAGATTGTAGGTGAGTGAGGTGCAGCCCACAGGTTGCATATGGCCTGCTAGACCCAAAAGGGCGTTGCCAAGCCTTTGGAATGACCCATGGTATTTTAAACAATGATGTTGTTTAACATGACTTGGCATGGACAAGCATTGACTTGCTGTGGAAAAAAAATGTGCAAATGCTTTCAACCCACCTTAATTCCCCTCACTTCTTCCAGTTCTGATTTAAAATCTCGTCCCTCATCTGCCAACCCTCAAACCCCTTCTTTTATCCCCTTCTTCCCAATCAAAATTATATTTAAAAAACAGATGTATTTATTTATTATCTGCTTTGAACTGAGTCCACACTGCCATATCTTCCAGTTCAAAGCAGATAGCGCTGAATTTTATTCAGCAGTGTGCCCCCATGTTCTGGATATCTAAATGTGATCCCCAGCCTTCCTGCATTGCATATTCCTGCACTAGATTTATAGCCTGGTTAGCTTTAATTAAGGTCAGCCCAGATGACGATGACCTCTAATCTGTGAGGAAAAAGAGATGAGAGAGGAATATGCTCCAAGGAATAAAGCCTTTCAGCTGATACTGAAAAATACTTTTTCATACTATACCCATAGAATTACCAAGACAGCATAACTATGCTGGCTGGCAGATCCTAGGCATTATAGTACCAAAAAAGTTACTTTTGTAAGCCACTCTAACAGGTTCTCATTTATTAAGAGTGACAAGTTGGGAGCCAGCTTTTATCTGTGCTGGCCCTGCTTGATTTAAAAGCATGGATTTAAGGCTACATCTCATGTCCTTTTTTTGTCTGAAAAGCAGGATTATCTTGCCTAATCTTATTAGGGCCACAGTTCTAATTTTAGCAGTAATACCAAAAGAGAAGAGACTGATTTGGGCTTTGAAAACATCTGCTTGTAAAATAAGTGCTGAGGGCATTTCTAGTTACAGCTTATGTTGCATAGTTGTCCTGCCTCCAAAGACAATATTTCACAGTCAATCCAGATGTCAACATCTTCCATTTACAAGAGAGGGTTGCACTGCTTTGTGTCACTGTTTTTCTCTTTATCTTTTTCTCTTTAAGATAGAACATTGAGAAAGCAAAAACAATGCAGTGCCTTTTGATTAGTATCCTTTAGGATCCTTTGCCTGGAAACAAACTTGTAGTAGGTACACATTTTTCCAAGTCAAAAAGAAGATGTGACAGACAGACAGACAGACAGACAGATAGATAGGTTGGCAGTTCAGGGAGTGAGGTGAGCTCTCACTGTTAGCCCCAGCTTCTGCCAACCTAGCAGTTTAAAAACATGCAAATGTGAGTAGATCAATACCTGCCGCTTCTCCAGGAAGGTATCGGTACCCCATGCAGTTATTCTGGCCACATGACCTAGGAGGCATCTACAGACAACGCCAGCTCTTTGTCTTGGGGATGAGCACCACCACCCAGAGTCAGACACAACTAGATTTAATGTCAGGGGAAATCTTTACCTTTACCATATATGTGTGTGCGTGCTGCGGCAGGTCTGTTATTTGACCGAGGAAAAAAAGCAGCTTGCAGCTAACTAAGTCCCCACTGGGTGTCACTTTCTCACAAGGCATTTCTCCCTTATCTGATGAACAAAAGGCTACTAAAGTTGAACCTATTAGATAAAACATATGCAGAGAATCCAACCTTAAAATCAAGTGGGAAAATCCTTTGAAATGTAATAACAGTTGGAATAATGTTTTAAAATGAAGATTGAAAATCAGAGTAAAACAGATTGTGTGAGAAAGAAGGATTATATATAATAGAAAAGACCCATTTAGCCTCACTAGAATGTATTAGTCTGAAAATTCTTGCTTGTGTAAATGGATGGGAATACAGGCAGTCCCAGAGTTACAAACATCCAGCTTAAAAGCAATGCATAGTTAAGAACGGGAGTAAGACAACAGAAAGTTAGAGAAATCTATCCCACAGAAGGGAAATTCACTCCTGAAAGAGTTAGTATCATGGGGAAAAGGTGTCTCCCCTGAAGCTTTAGAACCAGTCCTTGTTTCCACAACAAGTGATTTTTTTTCAAAATCCAATGATCACAAGGAGAGAGAGTGAGGTGAAATCTTCTGAACAGGGGCACATAAAGCAAAACAAACACCACAGGGGTGTTTAACCCTTCCCTGTGCTATCCAAAGCATTTGTATATTTGGTTGGAGTTACACTTTAAAAAATGTACTTGTTCTGACCTACATACGAATTCAACTTAAGAACAAATATACAGAACCTATTTAATCCGTTACTACTTGGGGGATGCCTGCAATGCCCATTTTCATTTGCACAGTGCAGTGGTTATAAAAATCATGTTGGATAGGTCCTGTTTTTGATGGTTTATGATCATGGTAGGTATTTAGGCCCTCCCTCTACCATCTTCTGTATCTATAGCTTAGAGCTGTTATATAATTATAAAACTGTATGCATGTATAATATAAATCACTCCCCAATGTCATCAACAATCATTTGTGTTCCTAAATCAATTTTATTTTTATCTTTCCCAGACCACCAGACATCGAATTACTAAAAGAAGGAGCAAGGTACAGTAGAATTGATGCTTTTGTTTGTGCATCCACAATCTGGTTGAACAAAGTCTTTGATTTGCTGTTCTCCTCTCCTGTGCACCTAGTGTTATTGTAGCCGCTACAAAGATCTGTTTGCCTTAATTGTTTGTGGAGTTTTTTTTCATTTTGTGATGATGAAAAGTTTGTTTGATCTGTATGATTTTCAGCTGCCCCTAGAACTGTAGAGTAATTGAACTTGTTGAAACATGACACAAATACTGTGTTTGCTCTTGGATTCAGTGCCTCAGTTTTCATATATGACTTGCTTTGTAATCTAAGTGGAACCAATTATATGTGCTGAAAGCTTATTTACATCCTCAGTTAAAACATTACAGAAGTAGGCTCACGCTTTTGTGTTTTTGTCTATGTGTAAAATAAAAGCAATCTGTGGGTTGCTTTTTTGTTTGTGTCTGCTTGAATCTTTCAGGAAAAACTAAGACAAAAATCAATTTCACAATATTTGCTGGCGTAGAATAGGACTTATTCATAAATCTGTTGTATGCTTGTTGGTGTGGTGTACTGTTGTATAAATTGTGTAGTATAAACTATTGTGTTCTTTTCCTTAAAATATTGTAGTATATTACATTTGTATTTTCTACACTTCTAATTTGCCTCTACATCAAGTATGCCTCTCTGATATTGTCTTTCATTCGAAGTTATCTTCCATCTGCACGAGTAAAGCACACGAAAACATAGAACAAGAGAGTTCCTATAGTGACCATCCTGTATTATGCAATTTAGTTTGAACTTTTAAAGGATTGTTCATGTTGGTGAATCCTCTTCCCACAAAATGTTCAAAACTTGGATAGCTCTTTCAGTGTCAAAACTAAAAGCGAGAGCGGAATTGCCACCTTACATGGATGTTATCACTAATACTGAGAATATTCACAACTTGCTAGGCTGTTTGGAAGAGATGTTCCCCTTCCTGGGACATTAATGGGATGGGTATGTGATGTCATGCATTTTTATCGTGTCAGAAGCGAATTGAAGGTACAGTTGTAATGTATTTAAAAACACAAACAAAGTTAAAATTTGGCATTATACTAAATATCCTTCGACCAGTAGCAGGCCATTTGGTGACTCTTCATGACCTCATGGACCAGTCCATGCCAGAGTTCCTTGTCGGCCATTACTACCCCCAGCTCCTTCAAGGTTGTTATGATAGGAGTTGGGAAGAATAATAGAATCATAGAGTTTGAAGAGACCTCATGGGCCATCCAGTCCAAACCCCTGCCAAGAAGCAGGACAATTGCGTTCAAAGCGCCCCTGAGAGATGGCCATCCAGCCTCTGCTTAAAAGCCTCCAGAGAAGGAGCCTCCACCACACTCTGGGGCAGAAAGTTCCACTTCTGAACAGCTCCCACAGTCAGGAAGTTCTTTCTAATGTTCAGGTGGAATCTCCTTTTCTGTAGTTTGAGGAAAGCTACCTACTGTATGTACAACATATGTACCAGTTGACTTCTTTATTAAGTTGAGAGCACATTTGGGGACCAAAATTACAGATTTTGATATGACCCATTGATACATTGATGGTCATTCCACAAAGAGGGGAACGCCCCAATGTCCCTACCCAGGCCTTCAGAAAGACAAAAAGCAGTAGCACCGCAGAGAAAGTAGAGGGATCAGTGCTCCTTTTAGCTTCTCCCAGGACAGGTAAAGCTCTCACTTTTTCCCCTCTACTCAGAGAAGAGATGGTCCTTTTGTTGGAATTCAACCCCACACTGCCCAAGTCTCAAGTCCTCAACGAGGAGCAGTTAGTTTAGTATAGACAAGGGTGAGAAAAGCGGTATAGAAATGCTGTAAATAAATAAATAAATAATAAACTGGCTGGGATTCCGAGAGTTGTAGACCAAAACACCTAGGGACCCACAGTTTGAGAACCACTGTTCTAGACTAAGGGTTTTCCTTTCCCAATGTCACCTGTATGACAGTTGGGAATGTATCTATTTCTTCTATACTCTCTGTTTCTGCTCTCACTTGATTGGTTGTTCAAAAAGGATACTTTTCTTCTCCAAGCCTTTTTAAAATTTTACTTCTGTTTCTTACATTCTGAGTATGTGCTGTGTGCTTTGAGATCTCTCTCTGTATGTGTGTCAGAGAAATGTAGTAGTTGGGGTGGTTTTTTCCCCTTCTCTTTGAAACCTTAGAAGAGATGTGTGTTAGAGTAGCTCAGATCCAATTCTTGATTATTAATAAATGCAGTTATTTCTTATTATTGTAAATAAACCTTTTGTGATTTTAAAGATTGGATTCTGCATCTTTGCCTTCCTAAGCTCTGAATTTTTACAGCCACAACCAAGAGCACTTCACACTTTGCCTGCGAATGAGCTGATTCTCAACTTTTGTATCTTGTTTGTTTTTGGATGCTCTGCTGCTATATTTTAGGGTATTTTTCCCTAACACCTTTTAAAATAAGAGTTAAGGTCCAGTACTTACATTGACTCATGGATGAGTTGTCCCACATTTTGGGGGTCAAAGTTTTGACTAAAATTTCTAGAGTTATACATATGGTAAGCTGCCTTTAACTAATTGAAGAAGGGCAGCAGATAAATATAATTAGCAATTAAAAGCAAGTTTGCAACTATATAAAAATAACATAGATTATAGCATATTTTACCATTCTAATGGACAGTGTGCATTTTCTTATGGACATTTTATTTTTATTAACAGGGGTGGTGCTGGGAAGGAAGTAAAACTGGTTACTGAAGGCGTTTCAACTTTAGACATTGACAATCCTGTCCCAGCGGCTGTCCAAGTCGACTCTAGCACAGAAAGTGAGAGTGGCAGCAGCGATGCTGAGCAAGAATTTGTTTCCTCCATTCTGCAAGGAACAAAGAAGGAAACTCTGAAGGTACCCAGAAAGAGTATCCTCAAAAAGAAGCCGGCTGAAAGAGTCCAGTCTGGGCCTATCGCTATTGAAAATCCAGTTAACAAGGCAGCAGAGCAGCTCAGCAAATGCACTTTGGATGGCCCAGAAGAGAAACACATTGTTCCTAATCAATCACAGACTGGAAAACCTGATACTTCTGCATATAGTCTAATTCCTGAAACTGTTCCCACCTCAGATGGCTGTGGAAGCAACTGTGAAGGTTCGCAGGTGGTTTTCCTGGGTATGAGCCAAAAGGGGACAGAGCGATTTAAAAGGCTGCTTGCTAAATCAAAGCAGCCTGGCAACCCTGAGCTAAAAGGCCCTGTGGACTCTCTGGCTGCCAAAGAGTGTTTGCTAGAAAATCTCAGGCAAACATTTAGTGAATGGAAGACTGGGGAGACATTGAAACTGCTTTATGGCTCCAGCTTTGTAGGTACCTGCATGCCACAGGAGCAGACTCCACCAACCGATCGTGAACAGGAAGAACTTGATGAGGATGATTTGGATAGTTCTGAGGAAACTAATGCTGCTGCTAGCATAATAGATGATCTGAACTCTTTGAACAAGCCTGCGCCTTTCAGGAACCCCAGGACACCAGCCAAACTTGTGCCTAGCTTTGAAAAACTGAAAGAAGAGACATCGCAGCTAGAACTGAAAGTCAAGGAGTTCTACCAAGGAAAGTTCACCGTTGCAGAAGAAGAACTGACAATGGAGTCAGGAGGAGAGCAGCTATCTAGCAAAGATCAAGTAAGCATCTTGAAAAGTTACGCTCACTCTTCAACCCCCTCCCCTTGACTTTTTTTTAAATGAAAATAATGATTCATAAAGTACTGTACAACTAGGAAAAGTGGGATCATGAAACAAAGAATGACCTGTAGTTGGATTTCCAATGGAGTTGAATTCCAGTGGAGTTGTGGATCCATAAAAACAAAACAAAATACAAAATCTACAGGCAAGCAATATACAAACTTTATTTTGCTTCATTTTGACAGTAATGTGCCAGCTTTAGACTCCTCCAGAACACTTATTTTGGTCTCTGTTGCAGAGGAGCAAGGGGGTCCAAAGATGTAGACATGTTTGTTTCATATTCTTCTGATAATTTAATAATAGCTGTATTTTTTCTACTTCTAAATTATGTAGGATGGCCAGCAGTGGACTCCAGTTTTTCCACTTGTGGATTCTAAAGCTCAGCAGCAGATTCGGACACAAATTGTACTTGAAAAGCTGCGAAAGGCGTGAGTACCCTCTTACAGTTATTATTCCAGTATTTTCAGACAAATTGAATGCATAGGTGCAGCTAACCTGGGAACACACACTTGAGATTGAGAAGGTAATGTGCCTGTACACTCTTAAAAGCATGGGACTAAATGTTTAGGTTTCGTTAAAACCCAGTGAAATTGGCAAGAATTAATCTATACTGGGTTGCTGTGAGTTTTCCGGTCTGTATGGCCATGTTCCAGAAGGATTCTCTCCTGACGTTTCACCCACAACTATGGCAGGCATCCTCAGGCAGCAACCAGCCAGGCTTTGAAGCTGCAAAGCCATTCAATGCTAATCAAGGTGGCCAATTGCTACATTCACACTTGCCTCTAGCAGACAAGAGTTCTTTCTCCCACCCTGGACATTCTACAGATATATAAACATTACTTGTCTAGTTTCCAGCAGACCTCACAACCTCTGATGATGCCTGCCATAGATGCAGGCAAAATGTCAGGAGAGAATGTTTCTGGAACATGGCCATGCAGCCCAAAAAACCTCACAGCAACTCAGTGATTCTGGCCATGAAAATCTTTGACAGCATATTAACCTATACTGTTGATGAGTGTGAGCCAAATTCTGTTTTGGTGTTATGTGTCCTGAAGTCCACTCTGACTTATGGTGATCCTGTCCTAGGATTTTCTGTGCATAATTTATTCAGAGGTGATCTGCTATGTGAGATGCCTAAGGAGTCCCATTGGGTTTTCATGGCTGGGGAGGAATTCAAACTCTAGCCTCCCAGTTCTAGACCCGCACTGAGACCATTATACCACTCTGGTTTATCTCTAGTTTATCAGTACAGGAAACCTCCACTTATCTGATGTGTGAGGGACTGAGGTGCTGACAAAAATGGAATTAATTGAAAAGTCTTTTTTAAGTTTGCAAATGCATACTATACAGGTATTCCCCAAGTTATGAACAGGACTGGTTGTGTAGGTTTTCTCTTAAGTTGAGTTTGTACTGTATGCAAGTTAGAACAGGTACATTTTTAAATGTAACAGTAGCCTCAGTGTGTGTGTATATGTGTGCATACACACACACACACACACACTTTTGATAGTATAGGGAAGGGTTTACACCCCTGTGGTGTTTGTTTTGCTGTCTGTGTCCCTGGCCTGAAGATTTCACCTAATTTTGTGTCCCTCTCATATTTTGATTTTGAAAAATTTGGCTTGTTTGAGAAACAAGGATTGGTGATAAAGTTTCAGTGGAGACATCTTTTCTCTATGACAACTCTTTCAAGAGTGATTTTCCCTTCTGAGCAGTAGTTTTCTCTCACTTCCTGTTGTCTCACCCCCGTTCTTAATTATGAGTCATTTGTAAGTCAGATCTTTGTAGCTTGGGGACTGCTTGTGTATTATGTTTGAATGACCAATAAAACTAAAATTATTACCGTATATTCTGGCATATAAGATGACTGGGCATATAAAACGACCCCCAACTTTTCCAGTTAAAATATAGAGTTTGGGATATACTCGCTGTATAAGACTACCCCTCTTCCAACACACACCACATATTTTTTTAAAGCATCAGATTTGATTTCAATATGTAAATTTCCTATTACTGTACCTCCTTCTCTGCCTCTCAGATCTCACACATGTGCACCTGCACCACTTCACTGCAGTCTTCAGGAGCGAGACCTGAGAGGCAGGGGAGGAGATATGGTAATAGGATACAAGGGCGGGCCAGACAGGTAAAAGAGGTGTGTTTTTCTGGGCCCAGAGCCACTCTATCTCTTTTTTCCATACTCCGGGCGCCCCGGACACCTGCAGCTTGCTCCACCCTTCACTTACACCTTCCTGGTGAGGCGCCCTCACCTCACCATTGGGACCGCATTAAGTCCACAAATCCTGATGAGTGGATTTTCTTCTACCATACTTGTACAGCGTCACCCTTAGTGCTTTCATACAGTCGCTGCATATGGCAGGGACGTGGCCACTGCCATTTTTGAGCTCTCCCCACAATATGCAGCAACCACAGGTTCTCCACTCCGGATTGGAAGTTTCAGCACCTGCTCTATAAGACGACCCCCAGCGTATAAGATGACTCCCGTGTATAAGACGACCACCGACTTTTGAGGAGATTTTCTTGGGTTAAAAAGTAGTCTTATACACCAGAATATACGGTATTATTATTATTATTATTATTATTATTATTATTATTAATCTTTATATCCTGGTTTTCTCCCACAAAGGAACACAAAGCAGGTTTTGGATGCCTTCAAAGGTGATTCAAGGAGAATCTTTCTGTAGAAAATACTTGAGGCTGTGCATGTGTGTACAAGCAATGTCATAGGCAAGGAAAACTGATGAAAGAACCTCTCCTTATCAGATTAATAGAACTTGTCTGTAATTTGCAAGCATCAAAAGAGTAAGACATCATAAAGTGAAATGTCAAAAAGTAGAGGAATTTTGCATTAAAATCACCGTGGTTTACTCTCTTTTCAGCTTGCCTGCTGTTTTGGGTCCTCTTCAGATTCCTCTTGGAGATGCCTACAAGGAACTTAAGGGACTTATTAAAACATTCAGGTAACTGCAAAGGGCTGTCAAAGGTCTAACTTTTCATGTAGCAGAGATTGTGCTAGGGCTACTGTCTGCTAACTGTGGTTGCCATGATTTGGAATTGGTTTATAAACTATGGCTAAATGATAATTATCACAGCACTTACATAACTCCTGGAATTAAGGAGAGTGGTGAATATGTTTGTGCTCAAATCGCAGTCCTCTTCTTTTCTGTTAGTAATGTTATGCTAAGATAAATCTCTTTTGTATCTAGTCTACTATACTAATGAATTCAGCAGAAGAGGTTAGGGAGCAAATTACTGATTTGATTTAGAACCTATCGCATGGGCATTTATTTTAACATGTTCTATGGCATATATCTTCAGTTTTGTCTTCACAGCAACCCTGTTAGATAGTTTGTTTGAGATATTACTGAACTTTTGTGTCTGAGGAAGGATTTCTACCTGAATCTCCATTCTGCACCATGCTGGATCTAGACTAGAGTAATGACCTATCAGTCTTAGACTTTAGTAGATTCTGCAACCCACAAATCATGAAACTATATATGACAATGATTCATCACATAGGATTGGTAGTCCAACACCTCTGAAGGACACCAAGTTGATGGCATTTGCCGTATAAGTTCATATTTCCTGAAGGAAGTTATCAATCCAAAAGTCACCAGATTTATTACATTCAGTCCTCTCTGCCTCAGAATTTGCAGCAGTAAAAGTTTAAAATTTGTGTTCCTGTACTCTTTTCTAATAATGTAGGGCAATAGTTTTTGTGAAGACTAGTCACCTGAAGCTATGCAAGCATATGTGAGATGAAAGGTTTAATGGCAGTTTTCTAAATAACATAATGTCAAAGAGTGAGCAGTAACGCAAAATTCTTGCATTTGGATAGAAAGAGTGTTTCTTTGGTGCCAAATTTGAGAAAAGCTGTATTTCAAGAAACAAAAAGCGTGGTTTTATATGGACTGGTTTAGTTACCAAAAAAAAAAAAAAGATCAACAGCAATAAGAGAGCATGTGGTGAACTCAGCAATAGCCATTTTCAGCTCCATTGGTTTTTAAAGAAATGCTTACAGTTCATCCTCGTCCGTGCACCATTTTATTCAATCACCACTGCTGGGAAATACACTAAGGAGTTCTCTGGAGACGTTTTAGAACAGTTATAGTTCCTTCTAAGCAAAGTCCCTCAGTGCCTGTAAGCTTTTGTTAGGAAAACTGAGATGTCAAATAATCTCCAGAGTCATCTGGAGCATTTTGTTGGATGAGTGAAGTGTCTCTGTGTATTTGTTTGCGCTGTTAATTCAGAGGAGGAAGGGCAGTATTACAAAGAAATCCAAGCTAAATAAAAACGTGATTTTTATTATTGCTGTTTAGTATTCTATCTGCTAGTTTTAACTACTGATGGTTCTGCATTTAAATTGTGTTATTTTATTTTATGTGTTGATAGTGGTTGTTTTATAATTTTTATGTGATATTGGTTTATACTCATGTATCGTTTATGTTATATATTGCACTGCAGTGTCTTGTAAACTATCCCAAGTCCCTTTTGGGAGATGGTGATGGGATAAATAAAGATGATGATAATGATGATGATTATTATTAACTGTAGGCTCTGAGTTGATGAAAGGAAAGGTGCTATCACCTTAGAGCTTTTTGGTTGGGCACTGGTATTGTAGTTGGACTACTAGGAGTGGAGCAAGAATTTTAACAAATAGGAACTCAGAACCCCCACAAAAATGGGGGGGGGGCACTACATTTCCCATGATTTCATAGCATTGAGCCAAAGCAGTTAACGTGGTGTCAAACTGCATTAATTCTACAGTGTAGATGCCCCCACTGTCTTGCAATCATACCAAACATGCCTCTAAGGCATAAAAATGCATATCTCATAAAATGTATATCTCATAAAACATATACCTTGAAGGTGGAGTGTTGCGAAAATACCAGTTTGTTTACTTGAAATTGTTTTGTAGATTCATCTAACATATTTATCATTGCAAATCATGAGACAGAGTTCTTATATGTAAAGGATATCACAGTCATGACTGGATCATAAAATTTGCAAGAGGGAATTTCAATCCAGAGACTCTGTGGCTCAAGCATCAACACTTTAAGAAACAGTGTGCTAGAATTGTGCTTTCAATATTTCAAATGTGTAGTCTATTTGATCCCTTCCTGAATTGTGGATGGCTCTTAGAGATTTGTAGTTAAGCAGCAACTCCTTAATCACCCACCCACCCAAATGTTTTCTTGCTAAAATGTTTTACATCAGGCATTCTTTCGTGTAGTTCATTATGCTTGAACCTATCAGCCCACAACAGGCTCCTGATGTAGTGATTATAAGTCAGAATGAATATGGTATTATGTATAACAAGATTATTTAAAAGACATTGGTAGTTTAAGGCTTTTGTGGGGAGGAAAATGATGAAAAATGGCCATGTTGAGAGGTATGATGGGAGGTGGAGAAAATTTGTTCCTCCATGTGCTCTAAATGGTAGTTTCTGCTATTTCATACCACTGGTGATGCTGAATGGGATTGATGGAATTGTGGATCAAAAAAGCTGGATAACTAGCATTTATTGCTAATGCTATTGATGTGCTTGTTTCAAATGCTACTCTTTGAAGGATCTACGGAGGGGACAGGAGATATCATCCGTTTTATGTATGCTATCTAGCAACTGGGGACAGGTAGCACAAGCAATTTTCAGATTCACAAAGCACCTTTACTTAAAACCAAGTAGTAGTACTGTATGCACTGGGCTTTGAATGTTTAGTGTCACCAAGAAAAACATTCTTCATTTTTGTTATTGGACCTTCTCCACATAAGCATTGGTTGTTGTCTACACAGGCAGTCCCCACGTTCTGTAGATTTGTTCTTAAGTTGAATTTGTATGTAAATTGGAACAGGTACAATTTTTAAGTTTAAGACCACCACCACCACCCCAAAAGAACCCACACACACAGGGAAGGGTCTATGCCTCTGCTTAGGAGATTTCACCTCATTTTCCGAACCTGTGATAATTGGATTTTGAAAAATGTGGCTTGTTCTGGAAACAAGGCTTGGTAAGAACGCTTCAGTGGAGACCTCTTTTCCCCATGTTAACTCTTCCAAGAGTGATTTTCCCTTCCTAGGAATAGATTCCTGTTGTCTCACCCTTGTTCTTAACTGTGAATCATTTGGAAGCCAGATGTTTGTAACTTAGGGACTGCCTGTATACAGTTGTCCCTCCACATTTGCAGGCTTAACTTTTGCATGGAGTTGATTGATACATTCTCTCAAAGAATCTCTAGGTCATCTGAGAGAAGTTGACCATGGAAGACCTAGATCAGGGATATCAACCTCATTTTCTCCAAGGGCCACATCTGCCTTCAAAGGACCCTTTCTAATTGTGAGACTGTATAAATGTAACTTTGTTGCCATGATATTGAAAATCTCACGGATCATATAAAATGACATGCTGGGCTGGATTTGGCCCACAGGCCTTGCATTTGACACATGTGACATTAATATTCCTAGATAGGTGTTCTCCCAGGTTTAAAAAGAGTTTCTTTTTCATTTGCATTTTTACACATTTGTTGAGAGTTGATTTCAGTGTCCCTAATTTCTGCAAATGTTGAGGGTCTATTGTAGTATATAGTTTTAATACAGTGGTTCTCAGCCTATGGTTCCCCAGGTGTTTTGGCTTATAACTCCCAGAAATCCCAGCTAGTTTACCAGCTGTTAGGATTTCTGGAAGTTCAAGGCCAAAACATCTGGGGAACCACAGGTTGAGAACCACTGTATGTAATAAGTCTTCTTCAACCATCTTGCCTGTTGACTACCTATTTGATATATTTATTTATTATTTAAAACTTTTATATACCGTTCTTCTCTAACCTCCGTAGAGGGACTCAGGACAGTCCATATGCTGGTCCACTTAGCCAGATAAGGTAAACCAAATGGGAGGTTTGTCATCCCAAATAACTATTGCTTCCACCCTTGGGATAAAAGTGAAGATGTATTCAGGAGTTGTCCATATACAAATGCTTATGTTTAGGTGTTGTCATTTGACATATGGACTAGTAAAAGTCACTTTTAAAAGGGAAGGGAGGAATCTTTATTTTCTATGTTGTTTTTTTGTGTTGTGCAAAGGAAAGAGAGTGGTACTCAGAAGTCTTATTACCAATAGATGTGACAGAGGAGTAGTGAACAATTTCTACATGGGATTTGCTCTTGATTGTTTTCTGAAAGCTTTTCCCCCCTCTTCTGAGGCCTTAGCACTGACACACAGCTTGTTTGGGAAAGTGACTGCCCTTTCTCTGCTCCATATTATTTAAGGCTTCACACCTGTAGGTTGCTTCCTTCAGTCTGAAATAGCTTCTTTGGGGCCACTGGGTCGGTGGTAAGTCAGGAGTTGTGTAGCCAGAGGTTTCCAACCGTGAAGCCCTGACAGTTCCTCCAATCTAGGGAGAGTCTGCATTGCCTGCTCTGTGTTGTTGCATGTAGCAGATTATTAGTGTCTTCTGGCTACCTCTGTTGTAAGTAGCATATTGATGGCAACAACTAGTGTTGAGACCTTGCCAATCAATACTGACATTGAATGAGAGTTAATTGACACAAATAACTGCATCTCTCCGTTTGTGTACAAGAATGATGCCTTCCTGAGCTGTGATCAATAATGGCTCCTTGTACAGCATTGGGAAAAAAGCTGCTTTCCCCTGCTCTTTGACAGAGGACTCCCCAGTGATTTCAGACCTGTCTCTTCCACTGTGTCTCATCCAGGCAGATTAACTGGAAGGTAACATATGAATTTGCCTGTCAGGATGATTCCATCAGGCCATTCCTCTTTAAGTGTTTACCGCTGTCATCAGTACTGAGTCTAGACCTTCAGCCTTTTCTTTGTCTCCTATTCCCAAAGCCACAAAGCATAACAGTTTAGCAAGTAATGACTATGCTTGCTGTATGACTTCCCATACAAAATCCTTCTATTCCTTTAAAATTGTGCCTTATCTTCTTTCACTGTTTCACTGACATTATATCTCATTGGTTAGAGATAAGAACAGATGACACATGCAAATTAGATATCGTACACTGTAAAGTATGATTACTTAGAAATACCTCCTAAGGACACATTTTATTATTGAATCATCCTTTTCCATGTACCATGTTTGGAGTTTATTGGAATATCGTTCTGTTTTCAGTGGGAAAAGGGGCCGCAGTTAAACCACTGAGCTGCTGAACTTGCTGACCAGAAAGTCAGTTGGAATCCAGGACGGGGTGAGCTCCCGTTGTTAGCCCCAACTTCTGCCAACCTAGGCATTTGAAAACATGCAGATGTGAGTAGATCAATAGGTACCAATTTGGCGGGAAGGTAACTCTGCTTCATGCAGTCATGCCGGCCACATGATCTAGGAGGCGTCTACAGACAACACTAGCCCTTTGGCTTAGAAATGGAGATAAGCACCACCACCCAGATTCAGACACAACTAGAGTTAGTCAAGGTGAAACCTTTACCTTTTTATCCAGTGGGAAAAGTTGGAGTGTGACTTAATTGTTAGTCAAAATTACCTTTAAGCACTACATATTGTTTCTCTGTTTTGTTTCCCTTCTGCTGCATTTAGACAAATACGGGTTGTGTGCTGTATTCAAATACCCGTCTAATTTTGTCATAAACAAGACATTTCATTGTGTTTGTGTATCTTTTAGCACAAGGCTGATTCCAAAGAATGGACTTTTAAAATGCCATATTACTGATGCAATAAGATACACTACATTTGAATCTCACATATAATAATCTCTGTGAAGGGAGGGCGGGGGTTCTGCATCCCTGTTTGGACTTCAGGTTTCTTCATGCTGCACAAATTGATGTGGTACATCTAGTAAATCTGAGGTTGACATGAAGTCTAATAAATGGGAGAATGGTTTTTGAAAGAGCAATGGAAGAAATGTAAAGTGTGAGGTCTACAATAAAAGTTGTTAACTCTAAAAGAATGACATGTTTCATAGATACTAGCTGTGCTACCTGCATATCTGAAAGATTTGAGTTGAGGCTTGGATTATGGTCCCTTTCAACTTCAGCATTGCGTGATTTTCAGATCTTTTTTCTCAACACTGGTTTGATAGCATTGTCTTAACATATGCTACAATTCCATTGCAGTAAAAACCCAACCATTCAAATGTTTGAGCCATGCTGTATTTTATAAAACTGTTTCATTGAGTTTCTAGATTTGAAAATTGTATTAAAAGGTTTGTTTAAAATGTCACTGATTGGTGTCCAATATTTAGTAGCTTTTCTTAGAATTTAATTTTTTAGACCATTTTATATGATTACAGTGATTTGGATTTCTCTGTTTGAAGGGTGGGTGTTATTAATCACTTGCAAGTTGGGTTGCTGTGTGTTTTTTCCAGGCTGTATGGCCATGTTCTACAAGCATTCTCTCCTGACATTTCGCCCACATATATGGCAGGCATCCTCAGAAGTTGTAAGGTCTGTTGGATACTAGGCAAGTCAGGTTTATATATCTGTCGAATGTCCAAGGAGGGACAAAGAACTCTTGTCTGTTTGAGGCAAGTGTGAATGTTGCAACTGGACAGCTTGGTTAGCATTGAATGGCCTTGCAGCTTCAAAGCCTCCCATCCTGGACATTCAACAGATATATAAACCCCACTTGCCTAATTTCCAACAGACCACACAACCTCCGAGGATGTCTGCCATAGGTTGGGTGAAACGTCAGGAGAGAATGCTTCTGGAATATGGCTATACAGCAACCCAGTGATCCTGACCATGAAAGCCTTCAACAACTTACAAGTTGGTTTCCTTTTATATGCATATTCGCATGTGTGTATGTGGGTGGGTATTGGCAAGCCCTTAATGCATTAGGAAAGCAAATAGAAAAAACTAAGCTCATGTTGGTATACATTTGCCCACTCTGCTCTAACAATTTCAGAAGTACTGGAACTATTAATACTGTTTTTGCTGTTTGTTTGTTTTCCAGGTTAACAAATACAAACATTATCCACAAAATGCCAGTCTGGACCCTGATTGCCATTGTGTTGTTATCTGTGTAAGTACTCTGGTGGAATTTGTTTCTTTTTCAACTTTCAATCAATCTGTTTATAATTAGAAATGGTGGAATTATGATTAAAAAATCTATAGTATTGGTAAGTGATCACATCTGGAGAGATTTCTTTTGCTCTTTTTCAATAGCTCATGTCTAAGTGTTGACACATTTTTTTGCAAAGCAGTGTTGCCACAGGGCTATAATTGGTTTCAACTACACATTTTCAGCTAGTGCCATCCAGGGCGATTTTGTTTATATGTTTGTGTCTTTTTAATTATGCATTCCCTTGTGTGATTTATATCAGCATCTTGATTGCGTTATGTAAGTGTTCTCCAGTTGCCTTTGAGTTAGCACTTTACTTCTAAAATGAGACAGTCTGGTGGGCCAGCATCAAAAATGTTCCCAAGAGTTCCTTGACCCACTCCATATCTGTAATGACAGATTGAATTTAGCAATCTGTGTGTGCTCCAAATCACTGTTTTTCTTTTCCTTCATGTATTCCAAACATAAGCCTGGTTTTTCAAGACGGATTCCGCAGCTAAGCTCTAGTGAGACTTAAGATCCCATTTACACTGACCATTTAATGGAGTTTCAAATCAGTATTGAAAAAAGTGGTTTCACTGTGCAGATGATTGTATAGGAAATCCTGGAATGACTGAGGCTTGGATGATTATTATACAAACCACACAACATTGATGCACATTAAGGGCTTTCTTTTGTGAGCCTTTGTACGATTTGTTATTTGGCCACTGCAGTTTAAAGCTAGCTTTAAACTGCATTAAATGATCAGTGCAGATGGGGCCTTCTTGTGGACAAAACAATTGATTTTTAATTAAAAGTTTCACAACATTCCAAAATTTGAAGACTTCAGTGTGTATCAGTAGTTGTAGAACAGTATCTAAATGATGTTTCCATAGTGGATCCCTTGTTTTGCTCTCCACATAGCTATGCAAATGTGGTGTGATATACGAAATATTCCAAGTTCTAGTGATACATTGTAGGGGCCACGGTGGCACAGCAGGTTAAACCGCTAGGCTGCAGAACTTGCTGATTAGAAGATTGGAGGTTCAAATCTGTGGACAGTGTGAGCAGTACCTGTTAATCTACTCACATTTGTATGTTTTCAAACTGCTAGGTTGGTAGAAGCTGGGGCTAATAGCAGGAGCTCACTCCACTCCCCAGATTCAAACCGCCAATCTTTCGGTCAGCAAGTTCAGCAGCTCAGCGGTTTAACTCACTGCACCACCAGGGAGCAGAATTATAGATAAGGAATATTTAACCTATGCATCATGAAGTGGCAGAAGTGACTGAAAGAATCAACAAAAACAACAACCTGTGCGTCTTTTTTCATGGTTCTTGCTCTTGAAGTTAAATGACAGTAGGGAAAAAGATTGTGCAGCATTCAACAATATTTTGTAAAACACCTTAAAATGAGCACTAGTTATTTACTAGCATGTTGTATTGTATCGTGTTGTGTTTTTTAAATGAAGGAATCACTGGTGGCTTTGAGAAAAAAAGTGTCACACCCTGCAATTTAGTTGAGGTGAAACCATCAAGCAATCTTTGTACAGTTTTCAGCTTGAATTACAAGATTGCAAAAATCTCATTTCCGAGGCTCTTTATTGCCGCACTGCTGCTTTTTCCCCTTCTTTTGGGCTTGATGGGTCATTGGAGTCCGTAGGCGGGCGAATGTGCTTGCCAGTCATTCGCAGACCTGGCCGTGTTGTAGGCCAACCTTGTAGCATCCCCAGAATTGCACTTAGTTTGATCTTGCTTCAGTCTGACACATTGTTCTGCTTTCGTTGTCCCAAGGAAGGCTATACCGGTAGGCATTAGAGCAGGCTTCAGTGAGCCTTACATCAGTGTCACCCCAGCCAGATACTGCTCAAATGATTCATTAAATCAGAACACAGAAAGTAACTTTACTTGAATGCCTTGGTATAAATTTTTTATCAACTGTAAGAACAAATCTTTTGTCATTTTTTTTTCACTCTACACTTTTCTGGTTGAATTCCTAATGTGTGAAACAGATCTTATGAATTTTTCAAGTGGTGTCTTTGCATTTAATAAAAGGGTTCCTGTTTTGTTCGCAAGTAAATATGTGTGTCTCGATGATGAACTGTAAATGTTTCCAAACTGAAATGCTTTAACCTTGCCAACCTCTCTCTCCCGTCCTACCTCCAAAGAAGCCTTTCCATTAAACTCACTAGGAATGGGCTGTATTGCCCAATTGACAACCTCAACCTAAATCCAATTGCGGCTCTCACTTAGAGGCAATCTCTTGAATCCGTGTGACTGACATAAGCCTGACTTGCCAAGTTACAATGAATCTGTTGTAATTGGGTGGTATTACCTCTGTTTTTTCCTTGGTGGCAGATTCTGCAATCATAAATAATGAACTACAAAGACCTAGGTTCAAAGAGCTGCTTTGTGCGGAAGTTCTTTGGGCCGTCTTGTGCTAGTCACTATTCCTTAATCTATCTTACTTTTCAGACTTATTTCAAGGTGTATGCATGCGTATGTGTCTTCAAGTCATCTGTGACCGCATTAATTTCATAAGGTAAAGGTAAAGGTTTCCCCCTTGACATTAAGCCTGGTTGTGTCTAACTCTGAGGGGTGGTGCTCATCTCCATTTCTAAGCTGAAAAGCTGGCATTGTCCATAGACACCTCTAAGGTCATGTGGCTGGCATGACTGCATGGAGCGCCTTTACCTTCCCGCAGAAGTGCTACCTGTTGATCTACTCACATTTGCTGGTTTTCGAACGGCTAGATTGGCAGAAACTGGGCCTACCCCACTCCCTGGATTTGTACCACCAACCTTTTGGTCAGCAAATTCAGCAGCTTAGCGGTTTAACCCACTGCACCACCAGGGCCCCCCACGTCAATTTCATAGTTTTTTTTAAAAAAGCAAAGAATATTCAAAAGTGACTTGCCGTTGTCTTCCTCTGAAGTATAACCTACAGTACCCAAATACAGCCGAACCCATATTTACTCAAGTATAATATGCCATTGAATGTAATGATCATCTCAATTTTCAAGGTGCACATTATAAAAATGGATCTGCCCACATAGCACATCAGGGAGCATGACAGCATGAAGGAGGCCTGGGATGTTGTGAGGTTTCCTGGCTGTATGACTATGTTCTAGCAGCATTTTCTTCTTAAGTTTCACCTCTGAAGATGCCAGCCACAGATGCAGGCGAAATTTCAGGAGAAAATGCTGCCAGAACACGTCCATGCAGCCCGGAAACCACACAATAACCCAGTGATTCCAGCTGTGAAAGCCTTTGACAGCACATGAATAAGGCCATTTGGGAGTCTACACCCCACCATCAGGTCAAAACTGGTGAGTTCACCAGCATTGTGCAGTTCCAAACTGGCATCATTCACAAGGCCTTCAAAATCAACGGGGAGTTTTTTTTTCTTGTAATAAATAAGGTTTATTTTGTTTTCTAAAGAACAGAAAAAAACTCAAATAAACAATACAAAAAGGGGGAAAGAAGGGAAAAATAAGGACCATAAAAGTATATCATATGTGAGTTGCAGAGCCATGTTAATCATTTTTATAATAAGTCTATTGTATCATCAGAGACATAGGGGTGGGGAGTGGGGGAAATTATCATTATACATATTCTTTAATAAAAGAAAGAAGTGATGTAAAAGGCAAAGAAAAAAATTCTGACTTTAACATTCATATTACTAATTTTTTTACTAATATTACTATTCTATTAACAAATGAAATTAACTAGATATTTATATAGTTGACATCCATTAAGGGTAGAAAAAAGCTGTTCAAAATTGTTAAGTGATAAAATAAGGAGAAAGAATATTGCACAGATTTGGAAGATAAGAAAGGGGAAGAAAGAGAAGAAGGGACAATAAAAGATAAAAGAAATTAATGCAGATCTGGAAGGACAATTTGGTACTCTTGTAAAGGGGGAGGTTTAGAACTCCTTGTGAAGGAGGCCAGTTGAGAACCATGTAAGACCGAGCCAGGGGAGTGGGCGAGAGACCCCAAGGGCCACCTGGGACGCAGGATCCATAGATAAGCGACATGATTTACTTGGTCAGCAACTGGTCACTCCCTCTTCTCCAGGCACCATGGTGTCGTGAAGCTGCCACCATCACCGGGAATAGCCTCACCTTTCCTCCCCCTCCTCCTTGTCCAATCTCTGAGGTTCTGGATTCCTCTGGGCCTTTTCACACATGTGGGTTTATGTGTGTGATTCTGATGAGTCATTGAATCTAATGAACACCTCAATTTTGGCAACGTAAATTAGCCAATAAAGGTGAGCATTAGACTTGAGTAAATATGGTACTACAGTTAACAAATCAGATGTCTCGTGGGCATTATGTCCTTAACAAAAATTTGGTACCAGAGGCAGAAATAATATGGAGAGAATAGGATTGTGATCCTGCTTCACAAAAAAAGCAGAGCATTTCAAGATGTTACAGCAAGTTTTTTAAATTGAAAACACATGTATAGGTCAGGTAAGATTTGCATAAGTAAGCAGAAACGTTTTGAACTGCTGAGAGAACACCTGAAATATTATTCCAAAATGTACCAAGGAATGTTGCTTTTTCTTTCACTACCCTCCCATGTTACTTATAATTTCCGTTTTGGTGGCCAAACGTACACATATGTGTTGTGTAATTGATGAAGCAGGTGAATCTTTTCCCCCTTTACTCTCTGTGTTTGCTGTTTATATATGTAAAGACTTCTGAAGGCAGCTGCTGTTTATCTTGCTTGTCATAGACAGGCAAATGCAACCATAATAGGATTGGCCTGAATATAGTTCTGCTTTCTTCCTATCTCAAGTTTTGTGTTATTCACTGCTAACACATTGCTAAAACCTTTCTATCCTCCCAATGCTAAAAAAAAGTTCTCCAGTTAGAATAAGAGGAAAAAGAGGTGCTATATGAACATATACAGAATGCATACAAGGGAGCTTCTTTGACAGAGGCTTTGTTAATTGAGGCATGCCTGTACTGACCAGGCCTGA